CTTCCTGCCCACTATGACATATCGACGTCGTCACGAGTGTCGCTTATTGATAACTTTAAAGTGCTGGCTGGTCTCCTCTCTGTCTCATAACATAATTCTTTAACCGTCTGGGGGGATTATGTATGTATGTATCAATAAAAAAGTCGTCAAGCAGCATGCGGCTTGGGTGAGACAATCTCGGTGTAGTATCAACAGTGTTACATTCTATCCAGGCCAGATTTGGACGTGATGGTTGCCATCCCGAGCTCTGACTCGAAGCTCGTGATCCTTGCTACGTTAGGTAGTGTATTCCCCTTCCAAATAATCCCTGTAGCGCAAAGCCCGTTAGCCGCGAATGTCGAAATCTCCGATTCCGTTGCAAAAGCCAGCAGGCCAGACGAACAAAAAAACAACGAACGTTTATGGGCATCATCAGATCACCTTTTTTAGTCCTTGGATCCGCCCACCCCCCATTCGTGTGCCTTTCGGAATCCCCAAGAGGCATCTGGAATCTCATCTCGCAAGGGTCTTGCTTCTTCAACCCCCTTTTGCAAAACACTCTTTCGCAAACTTGCAACAGGCGGTGACCGCTAACTGCCAGGACAAGAACAGACATCCCAGATCGTTATCAGAATTTGCTTACCAGTCAGAACGGCCAGTTACTCATTCCCCGATATAGAACTAGCCCACCTGGCACCATCACCCTCCATCCCACCAATTCAACTCTGCAGTGGCTTTCCCCCCACCCCCCCTTACCCCCCTTCTCTCCCCTTTCTGATGCCCTGCAGCAGCCCGCGCGGACGTTCATGCATCCCCAACTTTCTGGCCTGCAGCTTCTGGTGTGTGTGTGTGTGTCGCAGACGCATGTGTAGGTAGTTGGACAAAGCTCCTGGCAGCAGACCACAGTTAGTGTAGCATACGTAAGACGATGGCTTGCTAAGCTTGCGAAGATCCTATTTTTCTATGTATATCAGTCAGGCGTATTCCCATTCCCCCCCTCTCCTCCCCCCCAATCTGCCTATCTATCCGCCGGTGCGCATGGTTTCGCGCGTGACGAGCACACGACATCGCCGGCTTCTTTTAGTAGTGCTAGATTGTTCAATGGTCTCGAAGGGAATCCGAATTGGAGGAACCCTCCTGCCAAGCAGGATATGATACGCTGTAGGTAGCTGCGTTCCCTTATTATGTATTCCCCTCATCGATCATATGTACGGTATAGGGGAGCGCACGGCGTGGCATGGCAAGGCATGTGCCGCCGATGGGAGATTCCGTTATCGAAAAAGGCTACTTGATGGTTATGTACCGTCGACTAGTTGTATCCTGTACAATACATACCTATGTATGCCATCGCTTCTGATCAACGGGTTTACCCCAGTCTCGAATGCACTATGTATGTACATACTGACATACCAGCCAACCTGGTTCCCCCTCAAAAAGACCTGGTTCCAAATGGCGGTAAGACATGGACTATAATATGGGTGGCATACCCGGTAGAATCGATCCGATTCTCGCTTGCCTCCGACACTTCTTACATATTTGACGTGATTTGAGACCCGGATGTCCTCTGGTGTCACACCCTGCCCTAGTCCGGGCCACATGACCCTAATAACGGTAGCGGGTGCGAGCTGGTGGCTTCGATCGGCCGGTCCGTGGGCCACGCTTTCCGGACGGAGTATTGCTATAGTTATATTAACTGTAGATAGACGTTGATGCTGGGTAGTTTTTGTTCTTTCTTCTGCTATACTCTCCGGCATCTTGGTTTTATTGTCGTCTCGGCTTGGTCAGGATCTTTCGGAATGCGTAACAGCTGGGATTGGTTTCGGTGTTTGAAGTTGATTATTCCTTTGTTCGTCTCGTTCATGTCAGTGAGTAGTGCCGACCAGTCAAAGCCCATCAGCACAACAGACTTTCTCGGATCGTCAACTTCGGGTTGACTTGTATCAATATTGTTTGTTGGACTATAGTGCTGTTGCTCTGCCAATAGAAAGCAATGTCGTGTTCTTCTGTTTGATTGGGAGGCATTCCATGCGGTGTCGGATTATAGTCTTTGGATAGGGATCCCTATAATAATCTATAGACCTTGAGTTAGCACATTCTCGTCTAGGATAGAGATCAGAGGTACTGAACCTTAGCTAGAGATGCTCCCAGAAGGAAGGGTGATCTCTAGCGGTATTATGTGCATGGCCATGTCCGATCTCTGGATTATTGTGCAATAGATAGGTTTGTAGTCTTCATTGTTGTTGGGAGAGTTTCCCTTGTGTAGAGTCCCAGTGTCGCGCGGGCATCGCGCCTGTCTCCATATTGTCGCGACATTCGTAAACGCGCGCCGCTACTGTTTGTTTGCTTTCCATTCAATCTTATCTTTGTAGATTTCGCCGCTGGCATGCTTTCGCCAAAGATTGCTATAGAGCGACGACAATACCGCCGGGACTCGCCGAGAAGGTAGTATAAGCCTCATCTATGTCTCTCTAGATGGATGTTTTGGCTATGTCTTCTGGAAATTATTCCCCAGCTGCTTGTTTTCTTGCGACAGAAGATAAAGTCATGACTTTGAATTGGAGTTTGGCCTTGAATGTAGAAAATTCTCTTTGTCATTGAAATTATTGTTTCTAGTTTGCAGAATTAGTTAGCATGTGCTATCTCAGGTTGTCCTGCTGATAGGAGAAGGAAGAAATAGGGGACAAAATAATAGGCAGAGACAGAGAGAGAGAGAGAGATAGAGAGAGACCTTTACAGTATGGTAAGAATTAAGGATAGCCGGTATCACTACATCCTCAATTGGTCCAGGGAGAGAGCAATAGGGATTATCGTACTTAAGTCACACGAAGGGACAAATGTACGGCTTGGTAAAGCAAGTCCCATGCTGGTTAAGGTAGGTGCAATTGCGAGGAATTCGAGGGGCGGATGCGTGGGGAAAGGAGAAAAGTCTCGTGGGCATACTATAAATTGTTATATTTCCTAAATATTTTACTCAATCCGAGCACGTCTCTCTCTCTCTATTATGATTAAACTTCAATATGACACACGGGGAAAGGTATTGTAGGCATTGAGGAGAGTCAATCTTAAGAGAAGCTACCCAGGTGCTCAGAAGTGACTTCGATGAGCCGCATTATATCATCCACTACACTGTATATTAACCACACCCCCCTCCCCCAAGGCCACCAAGGTAGGTAAATAACGATAATAACGGCATGAACGCACTTCCGTAGACTCTGTATTTTTCACAAGATGAGCTAGATAAATGTGTCAGGCACGTAGCCTGCGGTGGACCACGTATATGGTACTGTGCTCTGTACACTGACTGGGTCCTCTCCTAGTTAAACGTGGATACTTCCCTCTTTCCTCGTAACTACGTCCCCATGGTATTCTTTTTTATTTCTATTTTTATTTTTTTATTCAAGTAAACTAGCCTCAAGGTACAACTTCCCTAGAGACGATACTATTTCTTTTAGTTGGGCGTGAGAGCACATGCCTTCCCCTGTCTCTATCCTCATGCTTCACTTCTCCAGACTTACGGAGAATTAATTTTATATCATCCAGTAGATCCTACATTGCCCTACCGTACATCGTATCCGTGGTATTTCTCCCTAGGACCAGCCTCCCAACCCGAACACCATCGTATCCGACCCGTCAATTCACGCAGCAACTGCCCTGCCTCGACCTTTCGTGGTCTGGTTTATAGGTGCGTACTCATTCTTAACTGAATTGGCTTAACCTACAAACCTTACGTTTAGTAATCTGATTATTTTAGGTCCCTAACCTTCTGGGTCCCTTCCTCGTACGCATCGTTACCACTCATATCCCCTCCATTGGAATCAATTATCCCACGCATTCTTTCGAGCCAAGACGAATGTAAGTCCTTCGTATTTTATCTTCTATTGCTACCAGCGATTGCGTCTCCCCCTACTACGCCATTTCTCCCCAATCCGCCCGCTTCCCAAGCAACTTCCTTCAAGATACTATATCGTTGGTACCTTCTAACAGAAGTTACCATTATCGTCAATCATAAACTAGGTATAAGTACTCGACTGTGCCTAGTGGCGATATAACATTCATAAAAGGTTGTGACAAACATCAGCTATTGGCAAAGCTCTTCTTCGTACAACATTACACCGTACACACGAATACCATTCCACCGTTAGTCCCATAGCAAGCACTAACATCTGTTTATACAGAATCGTCTCTGTCATTAGCCTCGATCACCTGATCGTCCACTAAGTAAGCGGTTTCCCATTGATCTCGGACAGACGTTATTTTATGTTCACCCTAAACTCTATTCGCTATTTATTTGACATTCCATTTCGTACGATTCCTAAATACTACCGGATCTCCAATACTAACCTTCCCCAAATATTCATATTCATCCTTGACCCAATCCCTCAGCACCGAGCATCTCCAGTAGCCTTATTCAACATCTTTTACTGCCATCGCCTCATTTCCGCTTGAAACTAACAGCCGTACGCAGTAATCTACTTACCTTTCTGTAACAACGCTCACCCAGAAAGCCCCTTTGCTCTCAATCAGGTATGCAATTGGCTTCTTTTCGCCTCGTCATAATATTTTCCTGTTATTTATCATCTCTGCTGTCCACTTGGGTTCCCAACGAACTTTTAGTGTCATCGGCCTTTCCTACACTGATTACTATTGCCAAGCACTACAACCGCCTCTTTCATCGCTCCGAGGCCAATGCTATACTGTGAAGGACTGGTTTCCCCTTTCCCCACCTCATTCCGTCCCTTCCTCTTACCTTCTCCTGCCACTGGCGTTTACCAACATTTAATATTTCCGCCTTTAAAAATTGAATCATATTATCCGCATCGATACTCTATGATCTAATCATCTATATACGGTCATACGCTAACTCCTTTATCGGCAAGGGTTGAGTCTGATACTTGAAGCTAGTTCAATATTAACTAGAGATCAGTGTTAGTACTAGTAAGTTTCGGTATTTCATTATTTACTCCTAGTACAATCAAATTTATATACTTCATGACTTACCCCTCAAAAGCTTTATCATCGCGATGGACTACGTCCAGGACATTCGCCGCGATGGCACCCTTCCCTACCCGAATCTCATTCAGAGTTACGCAACGGCGAACCAACACCATTTCTTCCTCGAGCCTGAGAAACCCACCCGGGAAGGTGGCGCCGGTAAACAGTACCAAACCGCCATAGAAGCCTCTATCGAGAATTCGATCAAGTTCCGCTTCACAAATTTCGGTTCCACTACCCATGTATACCGGAAAGATAGGGCCGGGAAAGGATCCCACTTCATTACGTTCTATCGTCGCGACCGCGGTGATTTTGATCATGGACTTGCCCGTTCTAACGAGGATATCTACGAATGTGCAAAGATGAACATCTTACGCCATCCGCTGCGTGATGACTTCAACAATCCGGACTACGCTTCCGAGCAACGGCCTCCTATCAGTAACCTAGTCAAGGCTCTGATTCGCCTAAACATTTACCCGGCAATCCCGAATGCGGTTATGTGTGTAAGTAAGCTTATCGATGATACCCTTGGCTTCCACTGACCTATGAATTCATAGGCACCGCTGTTGCCTCGGTGTGGCCCTATCTCTTCAACACCTGAGGAAGGTCGTAAGCCAGGGCAGTTTTCTAAGCCTAAGCATACGCAACCTACGGCCCTTACCAGTGTGTTTGAGATACCGGAACTTTGCATGGCGATCATGCTAGAGATTGGCCATCGTTGGGGAGACTTGTCTAACCTTAGTCGCACATGTCAAACTATCATGTTTGCACTCAATGCCATCTCAGTAAGATACTTCGACGTGAAGTAAAGAAGCATTAGCAGAAACTAACACATGCGTACCTAGACACGCGTAGACGTCCTTAGTGGCAACTTCCTGAACCTAGAATTCAGCGACGCCGAGATCGATAAAGCCAACGCAAAATTAAACGGTGAAGAGTTGGAGCTGGGCAAATTTATAAAGCCCCCCTCGCCACAATTCCTGGTCCTCTCAAATGTCCGACCACCCTACAAGGCCCCGGAGGACGGGGAGGATAAACCGAATAGCTTTGGATTTCCTGCTCGTCCAAAGGGAAAGATCTCCAGGCCGACCGCAGAGAGGCGAGTGATTGATACTTATCGATTCTGTAAGTCTGTCTGTCGATTTGATGTGGCTTGTATAGCTAACAGGCAATTTAGTACGAACAATTGATGTCCGTGGCCATCATATCAAAATCCTCCATCTCCATTCCGTTCCAAATTTTGACATTGCCCTTCTCAAGATGTGCCTTGAGCGGTTACCAAACTTGGAGATACTCGGAGTTTACAATTGCGTACTTCTGCATTTCGGCGAGACCGTCGAGTTCCTGAAAGCCATAATTGCGCACAACAAGAAACCCGGGAACAAGTTCGTCCGTTCTGATTTCTCGCCTGTCTACTACCCCGGACTTCCCGTGGGGTCGGAAGGGCGAACGGGAGAATACGGGGTTATACCGTCGGACCAAGGATTGATAGATACCCGCAGAGCGATCGTGGCAGTACTGCGTAACGTTGTCTCTCTCGCCCTGAAGAATGGCATAGACTGGTTCACGCCGGGCGCTGCTATGCGGCAGTATCTAGAACGAATCCCCTTTGCCCTCGGCACACTTCGATATATCCTCGAGGCCTGTTACAACATCTACTACCACGAACACGGTCTATACTACCCATTTATTAAAGATGTCTTGAAACGAGGTATAACATTCGATAATAACGAGCCCCGACACGAATCAATGCGTTGCACCGTATATAATGATCTTATACTGGCGACTGAGGGAAAACCTATGCAACGAGACCGCTTGGTGGCCTTGACCATGAGTGCAGGCTTTCACAAGCTTATAATATGTGCGTTCTGCGCAACGCCCTTGCCAGCGTACTTTTTTACGGAGGAGTCGATAAACCGCCGATCGGACCAAGTTGAATGCTGCGGTTGTCAGCTCGGCACTCAGCTAGAGCACCACGTCGATAACTTCTTCCAGGAGAGGAAGGGAGTAATGCATTTCCTGTTCGACGACGAACAGATCACGGACATCCACAGTTTCCTCAATGCCAAGAGGACCGCCACGCCCGCAGAACTTCGCAATTCGAAGTTCGACTTCTGGCTCATATCCGTCAAAAGCAGAGAGGAAGTATTAGCAGCACGGCCCGACGACGCCGATGCTATTATCCTGGACGGGCGACCCGGCCCCAGCCACGACGAAGAGGCGAAGCAGATCTGGGTGTGGAAAGAGCGCGTCGCGAAGGCGATGCGATACGCGAAGCGCAACATAGACGAGGGGCTTAAGAAATCTATGGAGACCATTGCCGACTGCGAGAAGGACATCGGGATCTTGAATGACCTATACTACAACGGACACCTCCAAAATGCTTACGAGATCAGGCAGAACCGCAACACGGTGGACAGCATCGAGCGCTACATCGAGCAGGAACGCGCCCGGTGCGGCTTGGCGCAGATGAGGGGAAAATTTGGGACTACACTGGCTGCGAACTGGGACGACGAGATCAAGAAGTACCGGGAGATTGTCCAGATCAACACTGGGCTGATCAAGAACCACGGCCCTCGCCACGTGTGGGAGACTCGGGGCGGCATCTTTTAAGTCCGCTCTCATTACATCTCCCCTAACTACTTGCTTCTTCACGGCTATAAAGGAAGTTCTCAAGCTTTTCCTTTTAAATGGCCGCTATTGATGACTACGGGATCATTCAACATTGACACCCTAAGTACGAAGCCCGATCCTCGGAGGCTATATACATGCCTTTTCTTACGCCTTTCAGCTTTCAACAAGCAGCGTATTACACGCGTCTGTGCTGTTCACCATTCTCTTTCACAAGGGACCAGCATGTCCTTCTTCGACACGCAGGCAGCGACAAGAACCACAAGCCAACATAGCCGCCTAGCCTTATACACTGCATTACGACTTTCCCCTGAGGTTCGCGCTCCCCTCAGCCGCCTTACACATTCATCTGGACATCATTATTCGGCGTTTCCAGCTATGGGAAATTAGACGACTAGGACTAGAGTCTACCTATTAGAGAGATCCGGAATTTTACAGCGCAAGCGCATACATAGTAGATAGGTCGGATTTTCGGAGAGACTAAAGCAGAGTGAGTGCAGGATATGGGAGGAGATGGTACCCTAAACCCACAGCATAGTGGCAGAGTCGAGAGGGAGTTCGGGCGTATGCGATGCTTTATTTATTTCCTTTTGCTATTATTTTCGCGTAGATTTACTTCCATCGACAACTCCTGATAGTAAATTGATGATGTTGCGAGATTACAGACACTGTGATTGATAAGAAACAATGTGCTTTTTATAAAACGGACTGGAAAAGTAATATAGCTACCATACTAACCCGAGCCTGAATGGCTAATTATATATAATTCTAGGGCTCGGGGAGATTGACTATGTACCTAGGTTACCCCTAAATGGCGACTTTAAGGAGACACGGGCTGCGGAAGTGGGGGTTACTGTAATGGGAAATAAAAACCAGATCGGTTCCGTGCCGGCTAGACCCACACCGACCCGGAGGGGTTTTTAGAGGCGGAGGCACATCGTAAAGTCAGGGAGGCAGCCACGCAATACTCATATAAATTATTAGGGAGCCACGCTATAGTATTTACATGGAGATTACCAGACATATTGTGCTTATTTATCATTTAGCATGAGTTAAAAGGTTAGGTTTTCTGATTCTTCCGACACCATCTTGAGAGGGCCACTGGAGAGCGGATTTCTAGACTATTGCTTGTATCATTGTCTAACTTCTCAGTTTTCTTTTACTGATCGCGGAGCTCAATTCACGTGGGAATCGGGTATCATTTCTATTTCTACATATTGTCTAGTTGTGTAGTCATTAATGATCCTTGGCAGCTTGACGTATCGAGACGACATTCCTTAAGGTTCCGAAACTAAGGATATCACCGATTCTCGGCGCACCGGAGAACATCATGACCAGCCTATCAACACCGCAACCCCAGCCCCCTGTGGGTGGCAGTCCGTGCTGCAAGGCGTGGACGTAGCTCTCGTCTACTTCGGCGGGCCCCTCGCCTATTATTGTTGGCTTGTCCTTCTGTGACTCAAGCTGCAGCTCAAACTTACGCTTCTGCTCGAATGGGTCGTTTTCTTCCTCGTACATATTAGCAATCTCGCGCCCTTGTATGAACAACTCGGCGCGAGCGGACACGAGCTGGCCAGTCTTAGGACATGTAAAGGATTTAGAGAGAGGCGCCATGCAAGCAGGATGATGAATAATGAAAAGAGGCTCGTCATGAGACGACGGCTCTAGATATTCGCCAGCAAGATCATCTAGAAGCTTGGCTAGTGTCAACTGAGACCCTTGAGCAAAGCTCGTTCGACCGTTTAGGAGTTCTATGAGTTTGGGAAGCGCATCATCTTCTGAGAGATCTGGGAATTGGATCCCGAGGACCTCTTCTAATGCTGGAATGAACTCAACCTGTTTCCACTTTTCCTGGGGTAATTGTATTTTCGACTTTTCAAGGGACTTAAGTTGACTCTCCGCAAGGCGTTCAACATGTTTGACGAGACGGGTGATCAGATCCTCAGTCATCAAAATCAAATCGTCTAGGTTGGAATAAGCAGAGTAGAACTCGCACATTGTGAATTCTGGATTATGGGTAGTGTCGATACCCTCGTTGCGGAAGCATTGGCCGATCTCGAAGACCTTATCGTTTCCACCAACGACGAGGCGCTTGAGCCATAATTCAGGGGCGATTCGCATTGCAAGCTCTTTTTGAGCAAACTCCGTGGCTGAGGTCAGAAATGGGCGGGCTGCTGCCCCACCAGCGTAGTCTGCTAAGACGGGGGTTTGAACTTCTAAAAAGTCTTTCTCGTGGAAGAAATCGCGCATGCACTTAATGAGGTTGGAGCGAAGGCGAAATGTATCCGAGGTACGTTGGTTAACGAGCAGATCCAAATGCTTATTCAAGACCATGGTCTCCTGGTTGACCAGCTTCTCGGGAAGTGGTGCTAGACCAGGACTAAGTAGTGTGGGGAGCTCAGTTGCCTTTAATGTTAGTTCACCGGCATCTGTTCGTATTGCCGTCCCTTTGACTGAGACAATATCACCACGAAGGAATGGATGGAGAGCATTCTTGAACTGCTGGAGTTCAGGCTTTGGATCTGAAAGTTGACTCAGACTTATCATGATTTGGACTTGTTGATATCCACCCATAATGGAGAGAAAGACTAGCTTCGACCCAGACCTTCTTACTGACATGATCCGACCCTCTAGAACAACCTCCTCAGAGGCTGGTGTAGTAGATACATCTCGGTACCTTTCCAGAAAGCTAGGTATGCTTATTCGGTTAGGACGGGAGCCAAGTCTTGGGTAACGAAGCGCATTATATTCTTTTAACTTCTGAACCCGGAGATCAACATTAACCTGACGGGTGATTGGGGCCACCGGATCACTTGTGGGCGCATTGGAGCTGGCCGTTGCGGACCTCTTGGGTACTGAGCTATGTATACATCTGCTCCGGGATACATTGTGTAGCTTTGAGCTATGTGAGGCCTTACTCCTTGCCGGATCACGATAACCGACAGAAAAGAACCGTGCATAGACAGGTGCCCGGAGTGACGGTATTTGGAACAGATATGGGCGTAAGAACTTCAAGTACTGCCCGTTATCCATTGCGAGACTGGAGGCTGTTAGCTATAAACATAACCACGTATGAAGAAATTATAAAGAAGATGATGGAACAAAATCAGATAGGCTGGCTAATTGAGATCAAGCACCATAGAATGGTTTCAGTCGCAACGGTTCTTAAAGCAATATCATCACGATGATGAATTGTTAATGATTGGTTAGTTATAAGAAATTTATTGTTGTACTTACACTTATAAAAGGCCTGCTTCGCTATTGAAAAGCTACTTCCAACAACCCCGACAACTAATACCGCTTTGCTTTTATTCAGGTTTTCAATGCGTGTGTTGGAGTGAAGAAGAAGAAAAAAAAATTACATGGTAAGGTTGGACCTTTCTTGGAACTTATTCTGCCGGAGTTTATCCGGTGATTGCGGTTAATCCGGACGCCGCCTTCTAAATTTGACGATTGGTTATTACCTAAGCTTGATTTGATATCTTTTATCGAAAAGCTTCAAGTTTATCAAGTTACTTTATTCAAGTTCTGCGTCACGCAAATAAAAGCTCGCAAACCAAGAAGTCCCACATAAAACAGTCCTATATCAACCGCCCAATATGTCTTTCCTCGGCTTCGGAAGACCACAGCCTACTTCGGAGGAGAAAATCTCAGCTGTCCAAGCTGAGATGAAGCTCTTAACCCAGATGCACGACCGGTAAGATTCTTGTCCCGGGTGTCCAAGCGTCACACCTTGACAACTAAACCTCCTTTTCAAGAATGGGTTAAGACTAACACTATCTCCTAGTCTCACAAAAGCGTGTGCGAAGAAATGTGTCCCCAACGACTACCGAGAAGCCGACCTCAACAAGGGCGAAAGCGTCTGCCTCGACCGATGTGCTGCAAAGTTTTTCGACGTACATATGAAGGTATCGGAATTGCTACAGCAGGAAATGCAACAAAAAGGAGCTGGTGGCGCTGGGTTTGGTTTTGGTGGTTAATGCGAAGGAGGAGCTTTTTATTATGCTATACCTACATATATGCAACAAAGCTACAGCGGGCCATTGTAACGATTGTACGATATGGATACCGGGACGTTAGGACACGTCTAATGATATGATATATCTAAAAGCTCTTTACGGATTGGGGGACGTATTTGGCTGGCCTGTCGAATATGACGAGGTTGTACTATGGGTTAGTTTGGCCATATCGGAATGGCTTAGGAAATGAATATTCTCCTCATCGACTTCATATCGTACTATTTCCCCGAAAGAAGCAGGACTTGCTGGTTAGGTCCTAGGAGCACGTAGAGCAGACGTTGGAAGACAATGGGCTTGCTATGCTAAAGCGCCAAGGATGCCGCTGTGGTCCACCACCACCACAACGCATGTACGCTGATAATTTCCTAGAAATGACATATTTGACATATTGTAGTTGGGAATGGCTTGGTAAAGTTTAGCTGCTCGGCTCCTGGTTTGTCGACAGGCTTTGCAATAGGATAGCCTTCCCAATAATCATGCTATGCTTATTTTTACCTAGGCAGTTTTGTCCTATGTAGGCTTAACATGTGTGCCAAGACTTGACATAGGACAATTTTCAGATGGCAGGTTTCACGGTATTAGATCGGTCCTATGTACTCGATGTATAGTCCGGGCCCTGGTATCTGTCACGTTATGAAGGCCGAGGACGAACGGCTTCACATGTCACCGGGATAAACCGGGGCTACGGAATATAGACATTAACGTTAGAATGTCTTGAACTCTACCATGACGACGTTCGAGTCTGGGGTATGCGGGGTAAGAGATGCAGAATAAAGACAGGTACCTACCTATAAACGTTTAAAGCTATTTATTAGGTTAGTATCTTCGTTCTTTGAGATGTTACGGGGATACGGCATAGAATTGCACAACCTAGGTAGGGTATCTTAAAATACGACACGACAACGATCATGTAACCTAGACTAAATTGCCGAATGTATTTGTTTTAATTCTTGATAAGCCACATATTATGATGGCTTTGACTCGAGATATTCCATCCAAGTCAATATTAAGAATCCAAGTCAATATTATATAAGAAATAAGATATGATGGTACGTATCTAATCTGTACGGAGTTTCTTATCCGTAGCCATCCTACTGGTAACACCGACTGGCCCCGACTGCCCCGATCAAGGTTGGCCCGAGCTTACGGTGGGTCTTCAGAACCTTGCAGCCTACACTAAGCTGGGGAAAGTCCGGTCTTCGGGTATCGAACAATCTCAACAATTGGTGGAACTGTATGACAAGCTTTTGATGAGTTTCTAATGTAAGCAAATTTCTTTGGTTGATATTTCCCTTCTGGCATAAACGGAATCCTTTCCCCTCTGCTGCAACGCGCAGTCGCATCTGCCCATCGCCTATCTCTTTTACGTTTATATATAATAGGTATCCTTGATCCCACAATATACCTAACCTATACTACTATCTACAATAGTTAGTTACATAAATTTTTATACTCTTTTTAACACAATGGATTCCTCTTGATTCACGCCGTCTTCCCTTCCACCTAGGTTCTTTCGTGGTCGCCGAGTGCCTGTCCTGTGCTCATTGGCTCCTCCAGTAGAATATTGCGCCGAACCGTCCTGCGTTGTCGCCCAAGGCCATCGTAATCTAGAAGCTCAATCTTAGATCTCCTACGTTACACCACATTGTCCGCGACACCCGAATCTTGCCGCGATCCTCTTTCGCGGATATCCTCGCCGATCGCATCTCAACTTTTCCCATCTCTTTCCTGCGTACTATGCGCCTCCGCCGAGCCGCCCGCGTCATCCTCGTCGGAGCACCAGGCGTGGGGAAGGGCACCCAGTCCAAGCGGCTTCTTACCCGCTTTCCCCAGCTATCGGCTATCTCCTCTGGAGACTTACTTCGCCACAATGTTAAAAATCGGACGCCTCTCGGTATTAAGGTCGAGAAGACGATGAAGACTGGTGGATTGGTCTCTGATGACCTGATATTACGCTTAATTAAAAACGAGCTGGGCCAGCGTGGTTGGCTCTACGGCGGACGACCGAATTTTATGACCCTTTCGTCTTCGTCCGAGGCCGCCTCTTTAGATGGCGTGGATGCTTTTGGGTCTGCACTCGAGGTCGATCCTCTTGCGGGGGCGAGCTTATCTCCGCAGGCATCCGAAGACCCCGCTGCTTCGTTTTTACTTGATGGCTTCCCTCGTACCGCCACACAGGCTCAACGATTAGATGATATCGTACCTATTAACTGGGTAGTTTCCTTACAGACGCCATTCCATGTCATTATGGAGCGCATATCATCTCGCTGGGTTCACGAGCCGTCCGGCCGTATTTACAACACCACATTTAATGCGCCAAAAATACCGGGTTTCGACGATATTACGGGTGAAGCACTAGTACAACGAGCCGACGATACCGAGGAGGTGTATAGGGCGCGGTTCCAGAAGTTCCAAGAAACGAGTGAACCATTACTCGAACACTACGCTAAAAAGGGTGTCCTATGGGAGGTCAGTGGCATGAGCAGTGACGAGATCAGCCCGAAACTTTACCAAGAGTTTGAACGTCGCTTTTTATGAAAATACTGGAATTTTCGATCTGGGGTCAGGACGGCACATAGGACTGGTGAAATGACTTAAATTGGCTGTATATCATCATGTTGGATTTTTGAATGAGCGATGCCTTCAAGCTCAATTGGAGTTCAGGGGACTGGACAACGTGGGCGAACGAACAGCGGACGAACAGCGGACGCTCTACCTTTGTGTACGCACTACAGCGGAAATCCACCTAGGTTAGGTAGGGTTATGGGGACGGTTTGAATATGTTTTGCTCTTAAGTCTTAGCTTGAAGTTGTGTAAAATTAGACGTTACGAGAGGGCAATTCCATCATTCCATCAGGTCTTCACGATATTATTATCAGCTCGTATCCAGCAGCTCTCTCTAGCCAGCGATAACACACATATATTACAACAGTCCACGGCTTGTCTATCTTATATCCGTACTCCCATCTATCATTTAACCTAACAAACTTAGTTGTCAACCGGGTGGCACTTATAAGGACCCTCGCCAGTAACATCTTGCACAATCTCCACAATAGGGCTCCGACAACAATACACCTTAAAGTCCGTAATAAGACCCTTCTCATTAAACACCGCCGTAGCCGTCTCCGGGAACGGATCCAACTCCCTGCCGTGCACCACGAGCCGATTATTCATCTCCACCGAGATCTTGGACCCGTCCGCGCTTTCGAACCGATCGACTACGCGCCGCTCCTCGATGCGCTGGTCCTTGAGAACTTCTTTGACGCCGTCGACGACGCCCTTGCGGCCGATGCTGGGCGTCCTGAGCTCGCGCATGCTTAGTAGCCAGGCGCGGCAGTCGTCGTCGAAGAAGGCGGCGAATTTGTCGAAGTCGGCTGGGGGTGAGGAGGGGGTGAGGTTGGCCCATGCGGTGTAGAGGGCGTCGAGTCGGTCGTGGAGGGTTGAGGTGGTAGGCATGGCGAGATTGGGCTTGGGGTTAATTATATTATTATCACCTTGGATGCGAATTTGGATATATAGTTTCGGTTCTCGAAAATGATATAAATGAAGTTGGTTGATCTAGTGATCTCTATTGTAGAGTAAAGCATGCAGTCGTTATATCCGGTTCTAATTGTGTAGCTCACATTTAATATGGGAAAAGCCCTTACCTACATGCACATGGTAACTACCTCGTATATATATCGGGTAAGTATACGCCTTTGCCTTCCCGGTCCAAGATGCCGATATAAAAATCGTCCCGGGTGGGTCTGCCGAACGGGCTGTCTACCTTGGGTACGGATTAGATACCTGGTAATTTACTCATCGGCATTGATCCGGTAATTCCGGCCCATTCCTCTCCCCCGCTCATTCTATAATCTATCTTAACAACACGCATACTTCGTACAGCCGCTTATTAATTACTCGCCCGGACATGTTTATCGGCCGAACCAGTCTTTTCCTATGGGCGCTTTCTTCGTCCGCACTCGTGAAGGGCATTTCAAATCGTCTCGGTAAGCCGGTCGTGATAGACACCGACATCTTCTCCGATGTCGACGACGTGGGCTCCCTGGCTGTTGCCAATGTGCTGCATAACTACGGACTGGCGGACCTACGGGGAGTCGCTGTGAATACGCACTCCAAGTACGGCGCATTGGCCGTTAGTGTTATTAATACGTACTTTGGGAATGGACATGTCCCTATCGCTGCGATTCGTCCGTTGACGGACGAGACCTTCTTCGATAAGTGGGACTTCGTGTAAATCATACGGTAATTCGGTTCGCGAAATATAGCTACTGATGGTTTATAATATATATAGTCTCGGCGAATATGCTAGCAAGATAGCTCATAACTGGCCTCGCTCCCTAAACGACTCATCTATAACACCAACGCCGGTTGACATGTATCGCAAGATCCTATCCTCGGCGGAAGATCACAGCATAACTCTAATCTCAATTGGCTTCTTAACTAACCTCGCTACACTAATGAAAAGCCGGCCTGATGGCATTGCGACTCTTACAGGGGCCTCTCTCATATCTACAAAAGTGAAAGAATTAGTGGTCATGGGTGGCCAGTATCCTTTCGGGTGGGAATTCAACTTTGCCGGCGTCGATCCCGCATCCACATACGACGTCGTGAATAGCTGGCCACGTCATATACCCATTACATACTCCGGGTTCGAGCTCAGCGACAACATCTTGTCCGGCGAGAAACTCGCCGACTACGCGCCGCCGGACTCGCCCGTACTCGCGGCGTATCAGTGGTACGTGGGCCGGTGCAGCACTATTCGCGAGTCGTGGGACCCTGTTACGACTCTATACGGGATATTAGGGCTCGACGGGTCCCCCGAATTAGGAATTGGAAAGCTATTTGAGTATGCTAATGAAAAGGGGCATAACCAAGTATTAGCAGACGGTTCGAATATGTGGGTTAACAACTCTGGCGTTTCGAACCAGCATTGGTTGAAACTGGCGGATGGAGTGACGAATGGAACTGTTGCGGAGCTCTTGACTCGTTTTTTTGCTCATAGCCCTTCGGAGAAGAGCTGCTTTACATATAGGCGCGTACCATTTCAGACTTTAGTGAACGAACGAAAAGCGGAACTAGGCTGTGAACACGAGTCGGGTATGAATTTCCAAAGCTAGGAAATAGAGATTCGGTGTAGGAACGAGCTTCTCATCATAAAATATAGATACCAAGGTTCGCTTTTAAAGACCGAGGTGAAATTGTTTAAAAAGAAGCAGCAGTAGTTGGAGAAGACATCATGAAACCCGAATATTTTTGCCTTCACATAAGCACGCCTTTCTAGCCCTCCTTTTGATAATAGGCGTGGACCGACTAAAGATGATAAATAAGACCTCTTTTATCCCCTTCTGTTTAACTTCCAACCAAGCTCATCACTTTCCGAGCAATATCCTCAGGGGTCTCCTCCCTAATCTCAAGAAGATCCGCATCCGAATCTTCCCTCGACGCCAGGATGCAGCGCGCATCTCCAGGCGCATAAAGCTGGTACACGAGAAGTTCTAGCACCCAGCCCTTATCTCCTACTTGATGCCTTTTCCTTCCGCTCTCGAGGAGATCTTTCGCGCTGCCACGCTGGACTTCCCATTCTTGGCCCGTGACCTTTTGGAAGGCGTCCAGTAGTTGGTTTTGGTTGACTTGGATCGAGCGCGCCTTGAGGAACCGGTTCGCGGTCTCCTCTGGATGCTTCAAGACGCCAACGACAGCCTGCCCGATCCCTTCCAGCGTTGTCCCGGTGAATTCTTCGGTGCCATCATCGTAGATGACCGCAGTACGCTTTTGGACGTCGAATCCCATTAAGGGAAAGCGTTTGAGAGCCTATGAATTATAATTAGTATTCCGTTGTCAAAAATATGTAACCCGAGGAACCTTACCCAGTCGATTGGATTGCCAATGGCTATTCCACTAAAGGTAAATTCAGGGTTGGCTTGAGATAGCTCCTTTACACGCTCCCAAGCGACCTTCCTCTGAGCGCCAATCGGTTTAAATTCAGGTAAGCTATTGAAGCCAGGGCCCCAGCCAAAGTCGTCCAGTACGAAGCGTTGGACGCCCGCAGCTTCAGCAGCGTCGACCAACGTGGTCTGGAATGAGATACCAGCGGGGCCGATGACAGAGATTGCCGCATCCCGGCCTGAAAGTGCCGTCTTTAACTTGTCAACTGTGTATTCCGTCCTGACGACGGGAATTCCCTGCGGGAAAACCGACGTAGATTCGATACGAGTGATGATGGTTACATCGAAGCCAACTTTCACAAGCGCGGCTGTGATGGGAGTGCCGAAGTTTCCCGCTGCCTAGTAACGTTAGCGAGTTGAGATGTACCGTAAGGCAATATATTTACAGAGGACGTAAGATTTATCATTCCAATATATAATTACTTACACCAAATATAGCGACCTTCTTGATAGGAGACATTATACAAGGGAATTGCCTAGAAGAAGTCTTTTGTTTCGCTAAGGGAGCGATCTCTTACTTGCTGTTAGACTAGCACTCCTGCCATACGAGCAAGCTCTCGTAACTAGGTATAGGTAAATATGGAATATATAGTTTTAAGTCATAGACGTGAATTACTCAGAGTCAGAACACAGCATATATATGGCACACCCCTAACGGGATTCGGAATTCGGGATTCAAGTTAGGCCGCTAATCTCTGTACGTATTAATAATGCTGGCTCATAGGGCTTATGCCTAGAATATTGGTGCTAACGGGGGTTAATATGAATTTGGCATTGGTGGCTGTGGTTGGATGAACTGTACTTCGTCAAGTTGAAGAAGCAGTTAAAAAGTTACTGAGATAGGATGAGACTACCTAGGCATAAGATTAACAAGTTAATACTTAACCAGAGTCCTAGTAACTATATGTATAATTAAAGAAGGCCGGGTCCAATTCTTACAAACAAGGGTATTAAAAATAGTCTTGATATATACGTGTAGAACTCATCGAGTTAAAAGGTGTTTACTAACTTGAACTTGAACAAGTGCTTGAGTTATGAAATAACTAGGTAATTAGTCGAGACATCTTGAAGACATAATAATTCCGCTAGTGCCAATTCGGTTAGTGCAATATACCCCACACCCAGCTGAAACTCGGACACTTTAGCAGCAACAATTTCCACCGCCCAGAATCCACAAAATCTCGAATCTTAGATCCCGTCTCACTCAGCCCTTTTTACATACAGCCTCAATCTTCAAAACTGAGTATCTCGTACAGGTAATGTGATGGTGATCTGAGTGTTCCACTCGTTTTACCGAAACGTAGCCTTGTCTTAGTTGAGTCGCCCAAATCGAGATATTTCTTACTAGATCTCGGTATTACGACGCGATCTGCGACTAACATTGCTACGCTTACTGTTGTTTTTCGTATTTATCTTGATGTCTGAATCCAGACTTCTATTAAAATAGTCAATATCGATAGTACCGATCGCTATGGTTTGAATTCCGCTCACGATATTTAGTCATTCTCTATCCTTATTTCCCGTTCCCGTTACCCTTACAATAGGGTATTTGCTGTCAAAATGGCTCCATCCTTCATTCGCGTCAAATACCTCCTCGCCGTCCTGTGTGCTGGTAGCGCCGCCTACGCATTATCCAGCCCCGGCGTGGACAAGTCTTCGTTGATACAAGAATGCCCAGTCTTTTTCGATACGGTTAAGCGATGTGATCCTATCGCGCCTAAAAGTTTCTTGCCTCCTCATTTGGCGAGACTCGACAAGGACAAAGGGTCTCATTCCCCGGACTTGAATGTTCTAGCCGATCTTCTTGACGCTATGCATGTCATGCAGACGCAATATTTCGCGACGTGGCTCGGCATCTGGCCCGAGTCCATCGACTGGACCGCGGCCGTTATGGGTACCCACGTCTCGGGGGCCGTGCGTAGCCTTTCCGAGGCCTTGGTACACATCAACTCGGACGAAGAAAACGCTATAGACCTGAAATTGGAGTTGAATCTAGTTGACAAATACTTCACCCAGGTTGCGGGGTATTACTTCGGACAGGATGCCTTTGCAATCCGCAACGAGGCATACGATGATATCCTTTGGGTGGTGCTCGGCTGGCTCGAGACCATCCAGTTGGTGAGCATGCATAGCGATCTGCATTTCAAGTCGAATGAGCAAGAGGAAGTCACCAAGTCCGGGACAAGTAAACCTCGACGAATCAGTGACTTCTTTTCGAACCAGCCTTACCATGGACATCTTTGGGTTCCCGCGTTTGCTCATCGTGCGCGAGTTTTTTGGGATCTAGCAACCCACGGGTGGGACACAAAGCTGTGCGGCGGCGGGATGGTCTGGAACCCTCGTCTTTTGCCATATAAAAATGCCATTACCAACGAGCTATTTATAGCAGCTTCCATATCCATGTATTTATACTTCCCTGGAGATGACAACACATCACCATTCTTTAGTGCCGGGAGCCCTGAGGCATTCTCTCACGTGTCTAGCGGGCCGAGAGACGCCAAATACCTGAAAGCTGCCGTGGAAGGCTATAAGTGGCTTGTCGATTCTAACATGACCGACCGTAGAGGCCTTTACACCGACGGGTTTCACGTTAGCGGGTATAGCGATACTGGGAATAACAATACGAAGTGCGATCAGCGGAATGACATGGTTCTCTCATATAATCAAGGCGTCCTCCTCACGGGACTGCGCGGACTATGGGAAGCAACCGGCGCCTCATCATTCCTTTCGGACGGGCACAAGTTGATCCAGAACGTGATCAAGGCAACCGGTTATAGTCTTGCTTGGGACGCGCCTCTCGAAACTCTCATGAGGCTGTATCCCGGGCAGCTCCCAAGATGGCACGGTCTCGGCCGAGCAGGCGTGATGGAAGACCCGTGCGACGCAAGCGGGACTTGCAGTCAGGACGGGCAAACTTTCAAGGGCATCTTCTTCCACCATCTCACGGCCTTCTGCGCGCCACTGGTCGCACCCGATACTAACGTCGACGAGCACGCCTTTACCGCGGTCAAAGGTGCCCATAGTAGAGCTTGTTCTACTTACAGCGGCTGGCTGAAGCATAACGCCCAGGCGGCACTTCGCACCCGCGACGAACACGGCAAATTCGGACAATGGTGGACAGCCGGGTTACTCGCGCACCGCTGGGCCGGCCCGTGGCCTACCATGAGGGACGACGGGGTGCCGCATACAAACGGCGTCGACTACCGCAACTACGGCGTGCCAAACGACACCACGTGGCGGGCCTCGCCGCCTAGTAAAGACAAGCCTGGTGTTCACTTGCCAGTCGAGAGACCGTTTTTTGCGGATTCAGAACAGGCGCAGCAGAAACCTATGCACGGCTCCGCAGCAGAAAAAGAGAAACGCCAGGCGCAAGATACCGGCGGCTCGAAAGACCCCAACGCGCGCGGCCGCGGCAGAACCGTCGAGACCCAGGGTGGCGGGCTGGCGCTGCTACGAGCGTATTGGAAGATCGCGCACGCGCCTTAGTAAGGTTAGGTACCTAACCAGCTAACCAACCCGTCAGCGACTCTTTTCGGTCGAGTTACATAGTCAGGTAGAGCGGGTGCTGTCGTAAGCTTATTATTGGCATTTAGTGGTACATATATAGGACGATCTAAGGGCAAATAAGCGAAGTCAGCAAGTCATATCGAACCGCATCGCATGTACATACATACATACATACATACGTTAGGTAAACGAATGGGTATTGTTGGGAGTGGATAGTTGAGAGGTAGGTCTAAGCATATACATTGGACTAGCGGTCAGATACACACTATTGTAGACAGCGACGGAGTTTTGTCTAGTCGAATAGATTCTGTTTAAGCTTGGTGCTATGCTAGTTGTCCTGACTAGTGCTTCCGCGACTTCGACCTCGTTGCAAAACAGCACAGCCGTCCTTAAGCTTGTCTATCCTAACATCGGGGATTCAATTAGAATCAAGTAAAAAAAAAAGCAGTACGAACAAATCATCCAACTACGTAATTACTCCTTAGAATAACTTCATCAGGGTAGCCGATACCCTACTTCTACTCGCCATGGGATAGGTAGGTATACAATGGTTTTTACATGTATATCTAACTGACCTAACCTAACCTGACCTAACTCATCCCTCGCCTTCTCAATAAGCGGTTTAGAATTGCACAAATGCCGAGGAAATCAAAGGGTTGTGAACCAGCATCTTCGGACAAATACCATTTCCTAACGTGAAAAAAAAAGCCTAACTCCCTTTGCGCGTACGCCTCGTCCCTGACCCCCTTATGTTAACAGTACAATTAGGTAACACATCCCCCTTATTGAGCCTCTCTTCAAATGCGCATATCGAACTTGTCTGCTCGACTTAGTCGTATGCCATCTTATCTTCCTCGTAGTCATTCAATGTATAAGTGCCTCCGAAGACCCTTCGGTTTAGTGCTCCCGCCATTCACTTCCGTTGCTAACGCCATTTGTATTCCTACTCGGCTCTGAGTGCGATGATGCCGGCTCTGGCAATCCCTCGTCATCGTCATCGTCGTCAAGGGCTCGGGCAAGCTCGTCGGGATCCTTCATCCTGGCATCCGGGTCCACAGCTGCGTCGTTGAAGTCGTCATCGCTATGGTTCTGTTGCTCTTGCTCGTGCTCGCGGATGCCTTCATCAGCGCTGATCGAGATACCCCTAGAACCCCACTTGGACCTGCGCTGCTGGCCGTTGCCATTGCGGCCAAGGGCAGGGGCGCTCTCCTCGTCGTCCGTCTCGGCGGCCTGGAAGCGCTTATTGCCAAAGATGCGGTTAAGGAGCCAGCCGCGACGAATGTCGTCCGAGTCGACGATACCGCCAGCCCGGAGCTTGACGCGCTGGCGCGTGTAGTATACCCAGAAGAAGTCAACGTATAAGGCCGTCTGGATAATACCGAAGATGACGGACACGGCGTTTGGCTTGCGATCGTTGACGTCAAATTCTCGCCAAATCCAGTTGAGGATGTATAAGCCACGGTACAAGCCTAGTGTTAATAGGTAGAAGGAGTCGATGACGGTCGGGACGTTGGTCTGGCGCAGAAGGAGTAGTTGGGGGAGGACGCAGACAGACTCGAGGATGAGAGAGAAGTCGTACATCCACTATATTGCGCGCGCGTTAGTTGACTGAGCGCAGGGCAGTAGCTTAGAAGAAGAGTAGTATTCGGACTAACCGTAAAGAAACCCCAGTGCTTCTCAAAGATCAGCATGACGAAGGGCGATATGAACAGCGATCCCATTAGAACCACGGCGCCTAACTTCCAGGATATCTCGCGCTCCCTAGTCCGGGGGAATAGCCATCGCATGATGACGAGGATATAGAAAGAGGACAGGATGTAAAAGAGCTTAAAGAAGTAGTTCCAGTTAGACGTCTCGCGGAAGAAGTCAGTGTACCTCGTACAGAAGACGATGGCGTAGAAGGCTTGAGTGATCATAGAGACACCTACATAGGACGTGTTAGATGACATAAGCTCCGGGATAGAGGGGGGAGGCTTTGCTTGGAGGGGTTTTTACCTTCAGCGCTCCGGTTTCGATGGATGGCGAAGATTAGGATGCATTTCGAGAGCAGATGGGAGCAGTCTCCCAGTATTCGAAATATCTAAGAGATGTTTCCTTAGTATAATTATTATAGAAGATAGGGAAGATGTAGGTACTAACATTCCATGCAGTCATTTTGACAGGGAGCTCGGCCAGGAGCTATCGCAGCTCAGCTCTTGGTGATTGATAGGTGGGTGGATGATTGCAGGTAAATCCGGCGGCCCTGATTTGCAGGTCAGAGCCGCAGAAGCAGCTGTTGGTTTAGGGGTAGGATAGTAAAACTTGTAGGAACTCTCACAGAGACTTCCGACAAATGCACAAAGAGAAAGGTGGTCTTATTATGTAGTTAATAGAAGGTTGTAAGCTTAGTATAGGAGATGTGTCGCAAAAGGGTGATGTAAATGCACGAGCCGGTGCGCGGCGACAGGGCCATGACGGCCATTACGTGTATCCCAGAAGTGGACCCCATCGTTGTTACCCAGGAATAACCGTAATAAGGTTAGTACGATTGCTCACAGTACGCCATATGTAGTAGATACGGTGTACATTGATGTTGTGTTTGCTGATGGGAGCTGCGGCTGATATGTTCGAGCCGCCTTCCGCGTGCTTTACCGTCAAACCTACCAACTACATCGCGTCACCCTCAACCATACCGACCTTATAAACAATAAACAATATTCGATGAAACTTTGGAACCAGAATTCAGTATACGACGCGTAATAGTCAATTACTTAGTAAACAGGTATGCATGGGAAATTGGTTAATAGCAGACAGGCGGCATCGAGTTTATTTGCAATAGCCTACGGCTTGATTAAATGCCTAACCCTAAAGGAAAAGCAGACAACTGACCTAAGAAACAGATGACTAACGAACGTTGCAACAGTCTGGGTTTTCATAATTTTTCTCTCTCCTGAAACATGAAACATGATACATGAAATCATAGCAGTAGCCTTCCCGGCTTGCAAATCGGCCATGGCCGTAACGGTAAGAGAATAGCATAGCAAAGCAATCACCGGTGTTTCTTTCTCGCATCCGGCGGTAACAAATCTTCGGGTTTTCTGGTCTCTTTCTGAACAAAACCACCTATGAGATTCTATCCGATCTCACAACACGGAACACGAAATTACTCCTCGTGGCAAGCCTGGGAGGAAAAGAACTCCGAAGTTCTTTTACGTGTTCCTTGAAACGTCCCCATATGGACGTAAACACAATCCGCGTCGGATACTCCATCTTCACTCTTTCGGTGTCGACTATTTATAGTCGCAATGTTGTTGACGAATGTGTCCTGTAATGAATGCGGCGAGGATAGCTAGCAGCGCGCACTTTAAAAGCCGGAGCCGCTAGCGAAGGGTGGTGGTGGATCCTGAGGTAGACCTCTGGTCGGATGGTCCATCCGAAGTAGGGTGCCCGCTGAATTGTTTGTCAACAGGAGGCGCACCAGGTAGGTCCACCGGGGGCGTGTTAGAGCTCCTAAGAGGGCAATGAATCTGGAGCAGATCCGTATGAGATCCGTCGGGGTTCGCGGGGGGAGGGAGAGGAACCGGCATATGTCGAAGTTCTATAGTGCCGATAGTTCTGCAGTCGAACTTGATGAGGATGCGCCAGAGGAATGGCCAAGGTTCCAGTCGAGTGCGATCGTGAACTCCGGATAGGACATATTCGATCGTCATCGCCGTGTCATATCCAGGGATCACCGGAAGTAAGCCTGGAAAGAAATGCATTATGCCAATAGGTTGGCCGTCGAACTTGATCAACCGAGACGAAGAGATAAAACCGTTGGGAAGTAGCTTGGTGCGATCATCACGGAATAGGTGAGGGTACAATCTGACTAGTTTTCGATACTTATCGTGGTCAGCCTGGGTGGGATTCTGCGGATTCAGACTCTCGTAGAGGTCGTCTAGGTTGAGAGCCTGTCCAACCCTCTGCGAATTCGGGCTGCTGTTCATGTTGGCGGCTTGTCTAGCGATCTGCGGATTATTGTGTCCAGGTAGATGCGCAGGGCTAGGTTGTTGATTGTGACTTGCAAATGTTCTTTTTTTGTGTTTGTATTTGGGTTCCACATTAGAAGGGTCCGCGTTAGAGGAACTTGCACCAAAGTCCCGCAAGACATTCTGCCTAGCAACATAGCTCTCGTCCTCGCTATCATCATCGATCACTATCACGACCTTCTCTTTCTCCTTCCCTTTCCCTTTATCAACTCTCGGTTCATGATCCTCAACGTCCAGACTAGCATCTGGAAGGTCACCGTCGATCATCATGACTTCCATCTCTTTCTCAACTATCGGCTCATGATCTTCGACCTCCGTACCATCGTCCGCAAGGCCTATATCAGCATACGGAGGGTCTGCATCGGCGTCCATCAGATCCATGCTGGCGAGACGCTCCGTCATCTCCCGTTCGCCCCCAATCTGAGAACCCCCAGAGTTGGATTCCCCCGAGGTATCTGTGGGCTGGTAGTTATCACCGTCCTCGAGATATACCTCCTCTTTATAATCCATAATGGGTTCAAGTTCGTCTCTTAGTCCGACACCAATAGGCAACTTCAACACGTGATCAGGTTCTACGTTCTTCAGGAACCAAAAGCCAGGCTGAAATAGCTCAAAGGTTCCATACTTTGTCTTGAGGAACTTCTTTTGAGGCTCTTTTGCCTGGGGCTGCGCAACAGGATCGTTGTCTGCCAACGGATCATCTGGGTTGGATTCTGGTTCTTCAATCGGGGCTCCTGTCTGAGGTTTTCCGTTAGACCGGCTTCGTTTGGAAGGGCGAGTGTGAGCAGGATCGTGGGAAAAAGAGCGGAGAACTCGGTGGGATTCGCGAGGTCGAGGAAACCTAAGTTGTTTTCCATTGAGACCGTCATTCATTTCATCCAACTGTCGCGCAGCCTCCAGCGAAATAGTAGTGAGTACGTATGAGACGCCAGTCTCTTTAGCAGCCTCTTCCTGCAAGAATTTCTCCTGTTCTCTATACACATTCCAGAGAAGAGGAGAACGACGGGGGACAATGTCCTTTTGCCCACTAACTCCGGCAAGGCGGTGCCATTGTGACAAGTCCGTAAATAAAGACTCGTGGAGAGTAATCGGCAGTTGACAACTGACGGGGGGATCAAAGTTCATAAAGTGACGCCACTCTACTTTGGTCTTCGTCTTCCAGCCTACCGCCATATAATCTCGGAACTCTTGCGAGCTCGGAGGCCGGGTCCTAGGGAAACCCTGATTGGGCGACTCGTGTTGCCAGAAACTCGCCTTCCCTGCGCATCGTAGCGTCAACCAATTCCAGACTGCCTAAGCCTCAATTGGGCTGCTGCGCTCTATAAACTCGGTTACCTTGGCACGGAGTAGATCTTCACGATTAACGCAGTTTCTGCACGGCTTGGAAACGAATCCTGTAACAAGGCGAAAAGAAAGTGACTCTCTTCCCTGCCTCAGCCACGCCCATTTCCATAGCGCCGAATTAAACTCCATCTCGATATCTTTGATGCCGAACTTGAGTTCCTCTTCGTCAGGTGTTTCAGTGGCCCTTTGGAAAAAGAATGAGGGTTCCTGGCAAAGATGGCAGTAAGGGATCCGGAGAGTGAGCTTTCGGTGAAGCTCTTCGCTCATACGAGCTGCCCAGTGATCGTGTACCATTGTTTCCTTTGAAACAATCGTAACAGAGCCGTCTTCATCGATCTTTTCTTTCTGGACTTTGAAGCTACCGACCATCTCTGGCACCCCTGGTTTGAGTACCAAAGTACAATCATCGCATAATTGTTCAGTTAGAGAGGTGGGATCCGTTGGCGGCCAGATAAGGCTCGGGCAGTGCACACGAACAGACGGCGAGGTAAAATCCCGCTTGTCGTAATCACCACGGTTCATTTCCCTCTGCACTAGATCCTTACAAGGGCGAATACCCCAATTGGCAACCACGTGGCATTCGGGGCAACAAAGACGAGATATACGACACATGATGATGAAGAGCCAAGATAGTACGTGTATAACTATGTACGTAAGGGGTATACTAACAACTCGGTCAGCATCTTTGCTTTCTTGGGTTGATATACCAGCTTTTGCCAAGCCGTCATATAACCTTGGGGTAGGCTTCTGGGTTCAGAAGCAATACTTACGTTAAACAGATTCAACCTTTCCAAATTGGCGCCAATAATACAAAGACGTATTAGAAGCTCCTTGAGGAAGTTGTTCTTGGTTTCCTAAACGGTTAAACAAGTTGTGTGGCACTATTACATATGGGTTAGTTTGTATAATTCAGTAATATAGCCAATCCTTTACTCAAGTTAGCATTGGCTGGTATCTTACAAATAATTTAGAAGCCCCAAGACAACACTGTTGATGGCAGAAGTGAGATAGCTGGTAGGGGCGTGTATAAGTTGAATTAAAGGCGACAAGGTCGGAAAGAGAGAATGATTTGATGAGCGTCACTTGCGAAACGGAAGACACGTGGAAATACCAGGCACCAAAATTGTACCTAAGATAACAGCCCGAAAAGGCTCATGCTATGAATTGCTGGTAGAATTTCTACGGAGATGCTCCCAAGTGCTGCTCGTCGACCTATATGGGAATAACGGCCGAAGATGCAATAAGGAGTGGTTGAGGCACACCCAGATCGCGTCTAGTAGGTGTGTTTAGGTAGATGGAGGTGTGGCGGAAGGAAGGAAGAGGAGGAGGGTTGACAGAAGAACCTTTCAACGAATAAATATTGGAACGGCAGACACTGATTAATATACAGACATTGGAAAGTGCGAGTGCAGACTTTCTCACTTTAGTTGCCCCATGATACCTGGTTCCTAGCCGGCGGTGAGGGTTTTACTGCCTTAGGCAGATGTAGAGATACTCTCACACGTGCCAACTTCGGCTGCCGACACGGCATCAGGTAGATACATGTATGAGGCGTTTGTACTTTAGAGGTCCAAGCTTGGGGGTTATGAGTTGAGTGCATTTACCTACCTACCTACCTAAGGTAAGATTAGGTACATATCATCAAACCATTAGACCTGCCTTCACACCAATCTTCACAGTGTTTACTTGGTATATGCGCCAGTACCTAAGGTAGGTAATCAGTAACTTAACCCACCTAGGTGTGTAGAAAGCATCGCCAGCTGGCGATGTAGCTCAAGACTTCTCGGTACGTACTAGTCGCTACAATCCATAACACGGGCCATGACTGACCGATTTATGTGTAGGTACCTACCTAAATTATTGACGCTCCTAGATGCTTCTTATAGCACTTGTCGATATTGGCCTCAAACCAAAGGCTAGGTTAAGGGGTTATAAGTAACCACATCGGTCTATTTTATAGCTGGAGACGTGGTTATCTCATGGATTCCATGTGGACTTTAAGAGCGAAGATATTTTCACGAGGTGGAACTAAACAGCATGGAAACAACTTCGTTGTTCTGCAAGGAACTCTAACCTAGGTAACCATCGAGCCTACGGCTCGTATATACTAACGTATCAGCGGGGATAGATGGGGGCTAAAGGCACCTCGGCGGTTCTACTGGAGCTGGATTCAGTAGGATGACAATGATGGCATCAAGGAGTATGATGAATATAACAATGTGTTTCGAAATAGGAGGGTCTTGTTGCCGTTTTACGAAGGCATTGGGTATAGTAAAGGCTTGGGTAACAGGATATACCTACAGCCTACTGGTGCTAAATATCCTCTGCAGTCACCGTATAGAGATCGGATTGAGTGACGATATCGAAATTCGGCGCTTTAGTAGCAAGGGCCCAGGTGAGATTGCCATTCTTACCGGCGTTGGTGTCAAGTCTCGACAATAGAATTGTTAGCCAAGATCGCTTATACCTTAACTACCTAGTCAGGATAGCCTCTGGTAGATTAAATAACGGGCTCCGGGATTCGAACTCTTTTTGCAAGTGACCTTTTATACTAAGTAGGTATCAAACATAAGATTTGCATTATGAGATCCTTTTGGCTGTCCTATGCCTCTGCCAATTATATATAGGTAATGAGCCGTCTAGAGTTTTATTCTGCGATTAATATCATTGATATCATGGGTATTTCTACTAACGGTAGGAACCTGATACTTGGAGCAACTTATGGAATAATAACCTTCTCTATATTTATCAATACCAGGTACCTAAGGTAGGTAAGTGAGAATTAGACTGATATGTTTTGGCAGCGGGCAGGTATTGAAGAAGTGAAGAATGCCCGTCCATTGAAGAGGTGGGCAGAACAGCGTCAAAAAAAGTGCCAATTTTATAAGTACTAACATACCAGGAGTCTCACTCTCTTATCAACATAACCCAGCAAAATACTCGAAAATATCTTTATAACTTATATTAAAATAAAATTTAGAGCCTAGTTCATATTAATATGATTTTTTATAATTGTTTTGCTTAATATATTCCAAGAGAACCTTTTATGAAAATATTCCCTTTGTTAAGCACTTATTTTGACGCCGTTCTGGTAGGGTGGCAGGGTGGGTCACTGGAAAGTCATATGTACCTAGGTACTTCGTAGATGCGGGGCCATTTAAGTACCTAGGTACCTACTTTAAGCAAACCGACGTCAACCGTGGCGCGCATCACGACGCGTCTTACAACTCGCTTCAATCTCGCTTCAATCTCGACTAGTTATCCGTTAAACGTACTGCATTGTCTGCGATGTGCTTTAAAACTTGATCTCATGTAAAAACCGTAATATACCCAACTCTTCGCGCCCAAAAGCGAAATGGCTACTAGTGAGTAAAAACCACAATCATCGCGAAATAGAAACTAATACAGGGGTATGCTAGGCCGTGAAGAGCGCATGCAACAGCGCATGCGTGGAGCTGGGTATGTGTCTCCCTCCTTGTTTTGAATTTCGTCGTATATCTAACTTTATATAATTTAGACGCCACGAAGTTGCCGATGATTCTTTCGGGTTTATCCTCCCGGGTGCCGAAGCCTCTTCGGACCCTCCTTCGGACCCCCCTCCGCCGTCGTCCATAGCGCGTTCGGAGCCTAATACTTCTGCGAAGCGACGCCGACTAAACCCTGATGCCGATTTGACGAGTTCGCAACCACCATCCAGTGCGCTAAGAGCCTCGAGAAGAACATCGGCGCGGTTGAGTGGGTCGAGAGTCGATCCTTATGCTGCCGTCCAACAAGAAAGTCCAGAGGATGCATCAGGACCCCTAGCAGCTTTAAGTCTGGAGAACCAGGAATCTCCGAATCAAGATGAAACTCTGGAGTCTATGCAGGCTGTTATACAGCGTCCCGAATCGCGCGGATCTGTAGCTTCTGTAGCTTCTCGACTATCTCTAGGGCACGTTGCGGAAGAAGTTACTGAAAGTCCTGCTGAAGCTCCGGGAAGTGGACATAGACGCTCAGTTAGAGTTCTTCCCGAGAGTATCACCCGAAGTGCGAAGCTGTTGAAAGCTGTGATAGACGAAGAAGCCGGGGCCACGGGCGAGCTCGCTTATTCTTCACCACTAGCACGAAAAAGCAGGGCTAGTGCTGCCACCTTGGGCGCTGCTTCAGCGCGATCAACACGAACGGTGACGAGAGCATTAGGGGGTCTAGACATTGGTGATATTGAGGAGCCATCGCCAGCGCAAAGAAGTGATGCTACGGCGATTACCGGGTCTACACGATCAACGCGAAGCCAAGTTAGACTAGCCACCCCTAGTATAGTAGATGAATTATCTTCATCGCCCCAAGCCGCAGGTACTGCTAGTCCCAGGAAACCTCAGCCGAGGGTGAAGCCTAAGCCCATAGCTGCGCCGCCCGAAATCCAAGTTCAAGCAGCTGAAGAGGAAACTCGAGAGGAAGAAGCTGTGGCCGATGAAGAGGAGGCTGAAGCAGTTAATGTACAGACAGCCGCCCGGAAGATCGGCCGAAAGCGCCCACGGGAGAGTCCACCTCGAGAAGCATCCCCAGAACTACATTCCAGAGTCGAGGATGATCGACCAACAAAGAAAAGCAGACAGAAAAAAGCGCGAGGTAGCCCGGCGGTGCAATCGCAGCCTAAACCCCCTAAGAAAAAGAATAAGCTACCCCCGAAAAGACGGAGCGACGGCGAAGCAATTCCTATCATTGTGCAGAGATACACGAAGCGAATGCATTTGAATGAAGATGACACTAACGGTGACATTCTCAACGCCGACATACCATTTTCTAATCGCGGCGGCGTCAACGTGATTGATGTCTTGTCGCAAGTATGTGACGAAGTCGTCGAGTCCAGCCTAGAGACGCTTCACGAGGCCGCTGTTAATGCGAAGGATTCAGCTACGAAAAAGGAGTTTAGGACGAAACTCCGAGCTCTAGAGGCGTTTAAAGAAGAACTACGAACACGCCTTTTGGAACACGTAAGCTGTCATGTTGGCATCACATCAGAATGCGCGTCCCAGCTAACAGTTCCAGACTATTGCCCTCGACACCATGCATGCGCTTAAGAAGCGTGTGCGATCGGTCCAGAAGGACAAGCTTACACTTCGAAGTGAGATAATGCGTATCCGTGCCGAGAGAGAGCAGGTAGCTCTAAAGATGGATGCGGTGAGAATGCGCCATGAGATGGCGAGCAAGGGAACACTGGTGCGTCTAAGATAACTACCTACCTACCTACCTAAGTTGGTAAATTTACAGAATTGTTTTTTTTCGCTAACTACCTACCTATATCTCAGCATCAACTAGAACTCTCCTCTGCAATGGATGATATCGAATTGGCTATCGAGAACGGGAAGTCGGCCCCAGGCCTCGATGACCCAAAGGAAAAGAAAGCAGCCGAGCTTTCGAATCTGGAACTGTTGATTTCCAGAGTGGCTAGTCAAGCCAGTAGCGGCGGCGATGGTGGTGGAAGCCTCAAACAAATCAAGGACTTCAATGCCTTCCTCGAGCGCACTGCCGCTGCTCTCGAGGGAAGATGATGGATGATGTATATGACTTAACCTGACTATGTAACTGGCCGACTTTTCCCGTTTTGCACAGTATTCCGCAATTACACTACACCAAACCAAAGTAATGCCAAGCATCAGCGTTTTCGAGGTATAATTCGTCCTTGAAGATAACTGGGACACGAGATGAGTAATGATTAGAGAGATTTTGTATAATAGAAGAACTCAATAGGGAGTGGCCGTGTTTTGAGGTAGTGTAGGTAAGCATTGCAGACCGCTAAGCCTCCGTTTCGACATCGGGGATATGCATACACATACAGATAGATGATCGACATAACTAAAGAATCCTTTGGTGTTACCCGCCTCGCCATGTCGTCATTGCTCACAAGGTGGATACATGCCAACCCAAGAGTTTTAGAAAAGCCAGCATGGTCTTTAGTGTATAACTGATGAATAGGTAGACAATCGGAATATACAGATAGTTAGGTAACACCGCTATCAAACCAGCAACACATGCAATTCGTGGGGTATATTTTCTTCAGTGCTTCAGCCCTGAACCTTGGCGTAACAAGCCTAGAGGCTGAACCCTTGTGATCAAATTTACATAGAGTCTTCCATGGTACAGAATAGGCTACCCAAACCTGGAGTTGGCTCCCTTAATAAAAACGGAAAAGGTTAAAAAGCCGAGACCTATCAAAGACCCTTACAGCCCTAGGATCAACAAAAATAGCCAACTGCTCCTACTACCTATGTAAGCAAGCTGGCAAGGGGGAAGATAAATAAATAAAAAACTCCACAAAATCATCGCGATGCACGCCTCGGAAAAAAAATCTACCCAATCAGCCAATCTAGGGACCTTTTTTTTCCAGTCTTCGTGTTTCTGTATTACTTGACGTAAAACAAGCCTCAGCGTCACAGAAGGTCGCGCAAATCTTGGAGAATATTATGGAACACATAATAGGTACCTAGGTATGATTAAAATAACTTTGGGCCGTAACGTTAGATATGGAATCTTCTACCGCTCGTGGAGTCGTCCGACTTCCAAGGTCCCAATAACTGCGCCTGAAAGGTGCTGTGCCTTAAAATGCGCACCGGCCGGCTTGGCAATGGCTCAGCCCACAAGCTGTAGAACCAACATTCAACATTCATGGCATGGGGTAAGAGCAACATAAGGAGGTTTGTAAATTAGATATCATCCTGCGGCTGTCTTGTCGGTTTTTGTTTTTGTTTTTTTTTATTCTTCTATCTCTATTTCGTCCTTCGTTCGGCTTTCGGCTTTCGTCTCTTGCTAGTATTAACTTACTAGTTATCCCCTACCGCTACTCCACGATAGACGAGACCGTATTGTACCTAACCGTAGACGCCATGGCCAAGCACGACTATCCGTACAAGAAGAGTATCAACGTCACCGCTTGGATCTTGCAGATATTGGTGTGCTTAGTGCTTATATCTGCGTCGGCGTGGTTGTTATGGATTTCAGAGAACAGAAACCTCGACGATATCTTGGGTGATTATCAAGGACTTTTCACGTATGCATTCCCGGGATTTTCAACTAGAAAGAATTGAGGGGGGAGATAAACTGACTGGAACGAACCATTGTAGTGCCTCCGCTGGCGTTCAGATCGCCATTGCCGGTCTTACTATCGTCATGAACATAGTCGAGATCATCCTAATCTCCAAGAAGCGAATGCCGCCGGCGTTGTTCCTCACGAGCGCTTGCATCAAGACCACAATCTGGGGTATCGTATTCATACTGAAGGTGATCGCGCTCTCGGTTCTCTCCATCATCCTGGTTATAATCCTACTGTACGTATACGGCCTATCTTCCCATATATATTAGCGAGGAACTCGGACGGAGAAGTAGCAGGCGCTGCCGCCACGGCTTATAGCCGAGAAAGATGATATGATGCTACTGGAATACGAAGCTAACAAACACCAACGGCAATAGTGCGACGTCCTTGACGCAGCTTATCCATGCGGCGATCATTGTCCACCGCAAGCGACGCGGCACCCTAAGGGGCGGCAAATACGCACCCGCGATCAACCCGCAGGGCTTCGAGGAGGGAGTATACGCCCAGCCGGCGCCGGGGTATTACTACCCGCCCCCCACCAACACCGAGTACAAATCGCCCGCTGCATCGCCGCCGCCGCCATCTCAGCATGGATACGCGGCAGTGGATGCCTACCCGCCGCAAATGCCCACGGGCACCTATGAGCTCGACAGCCGAGGCCGGGATTTGTAGGGAAAAGTACTGGGCATAAAAAGGCTTGTTTATATTCTCTGATATATTGCATATTAAGGATGCATTGTTTGTTGTCTGCTTCGTGTGTGTTTGGTTGGTTGGCTGGGCTCGGTTAAGCTCAGCCTATTTGGCCGTTAAAAGGCACCTAATGATACCTGTGCTGCATTTAGAAGTCTCGCATTGGACATGGTAGCGGTTATGATTATCCATATAAATAAATTCATTAGAACGGGGTGCTCACATAAGCCCTTACATCAAAGCTTCGACGTACGTATAATGATTGCACTGATTGTGAAGGAGATGGGCGTTTAGCACGAGGTTCATGCACGTGGGGGCCATACCATATATATTTATATGTCGGTACCTGTATCGAAGTCCCTAACTTCAGAGGTGTGTAGTGTAATGTCGTATCGTGGATAGCAACCCCGTAGGCTTGAGTGATATGATATGGAGGTTGGGGAATAGGAAATGTTACCAATCTGAGACATTCGTCTTTTAAAACCTGAAAAGGGATATAATTGACGACTTTAGCTTAGGTAGGTATCTTATATCTAAAGGGCTACTATGTAGGTACTCCGATGCTGATTTACTGAGTACCTACTAGAGGTAAAGATATGGTACACGCGTACGATGGGCTAGTCGGCTTCGAGGCCAATCAAAATTCCCTCTATGAAATTAACGTTTAGTAACATTCGAAACACTGCCCCGGTTTCCGTGTCTAACTACCCAAGGTACATAGTAGGTACTGCCAGATTCGTGGGGAATGACGAGGAATTTAACTAAACAAGTTTTTATTAACGTTGTTTAGCAGTCTACCTCTAGCTAACTAATAGAACTATCTAAAATACGGTGAATGAACTTCAAAGTTCTATATGACATTAACTAACTAGTAGTCTAGAACCTGAAACTTAAGACATCACATATTAATCAGTTAGTCCTATCTATCATATGAGTGTACCTGACCTAGAATGCTACCAAACAACTTAAATAGGTATAAGCACTACACGCATGACAAGTCATTATTTTCAGCTGAATATGGATCGATCAGGGACAACAACATATCATGTCCCGGAAACAAACCAGCTAGGTCCTACCTGACTTGCTCGTATTGAGTAGCTTGGATTCGGCATCGTGGGCAGATGATTGGTTCAGTACGAGCTGCGAATCCAGTCCTGTTGGGGTTCCATGCAGATGGTTGGTTAGACGGGGCCTTTTCGATAAGATGTCCGCGCCTATCGAATTGGACTATGTACGCGGGTGATTACGACAGAACTGACGACCATCATCACTGCCATGTACCTAATGTAGCATGTATGAATTGGTAAGGTAGGTACACTGTCACTGCCAACCGGCTTACCTGCACGTATAGTACCTCTTTCCGATTGACTTGTGGTTTGTGCATGTCCGGTAATCTTGCCGCAAGTTTCTATGGGGGGATCGTCCCGACTGGGGTCAGACGGGTCCATCTACCTAAACCTTGGAACACCATCAAGCTTTCGTGGCGTGAAGATTTAAGCTAGGCGCGCGATTGGCGTTGCGCGCCTTCCATCCCAAGTCAAGGTTTCCTTCCCTATGTATAGGTTCCTAAAAATCAGGATAGGACGATAGGTTGGTCACGGTCTGGGGTTTTACATAGCCCCTCTCCTTCCCCTTGTTTGCGACGTGTGGACGTGAGGTATCTTGTACATCCACATCGTAGTTGCCGGCCATAAAATCATTGGGCTGCCTCCCGTTGCCGTTATATCCGTCTGCTACCTAGAAAAAGGACACTTGTTCCTCCTCTTACTCTCTCACATACTAAACAAATTCCTCACCGCTTTCGAAATCCTGTTTAGTTTCTTACTATCGTCGTCTTCGTCGCCCATTTGCAATCAATCACCTAGTCATTCCCTACAATCGATTCTCTTCTTCGAAAGACCCATCAAAATGCCTTCCCCTCAAGAGCCCCAGCAGCAAGCTCCCATGGAGATGGCTCCCGTCGACGGCGTCGTTACGCAACAGCCTGTAGGTTTCCTTTTCTCCTGTTTCATTCGGGTTATAGAAGGCAGTCCAATTGACATTAAAACAGGCCGCTGAACCCCAACCCGAGTTCGGCAGCATGCGAGGTGGTGAAGAGGTAAGCATATTCTTCTCTAAACAACCCCGAGAGTCTTAAACATTGACTTTGGGTAGGCTGGTTGCGAGATCTGCTGCGGCCTTTGCGCCTGCGACGAGGGCTGCTGCTAAACAGCCTAACCACTCGACTGCCGGCACGCTCTCTACTACACTTGCTTGAGCAGTCGGACTGAAAGACCCCGCGATGCTGCAGTGGAACGAGCAACACAACCAATCGATATGTTGCACGGAAAACTCCTACCCGTACCCCGCCAACTATACCCGTGAAGAAAAAGCTCATGCACAGATGAGTCAGCGCAAGCATCTAGGCCTCTAACAATATCGCGGCATTCGGGATCGAGAGGAAGGACGGGTATTTCCTAGTATTGATGGTAGCAAGCGGGCGAGCTCTGAATTTTGGTAGTGCGGAGTCTTATCAATAGAAAATTTCCCGAAGATTTGATGCCCTTTTTTCATTGAGTCGCATTCCGTTTTTAATCCTAACAGGTTCCTTCTTCCGGATTTCTTCCATTTCGGTAGACTGTGATGCTGACGATGACGATAAAGTCGATGATCTTTGGTGAGCTTAGTGGTCAATTAAGCAGCGTTGAAGTTGAACCACTTCTCAATGGCGCCAGCTCCAAAGGTATGAAGTAAGAAATAAGGGTAGCGAAACTTGAATAATACACCATTTCGGTCTTCAGCTAGTTGATACAAGTACCTGCGCCATATCTTCTTTTTCTTTGGCGATACTTCACGATGCTGTTAGTGGTTACGCCGACGTTAAATACCCCATGTTCCCATACTACAATTCGATTCCAGCCGTTAAATTTTAGTGAAGAAGGATGCTAGGGATAAGAAAATGATGGTCAAAGTAAGCTAAAAGCATTGATCTGCTCTATTCGGGCGTTCGTCAGTCGAATTAAGCATTTGCCTCATGCCTTGGCGATCTCTTGGCTCTTGGCTCTTGGCGGCGCATCGACAACTGGCATCAAATGGGACCTTGATTTCGCCATCCTTCCCTCATCATTCATGCATGTCCGAACCCTAACCCAAGTGACATACCGCATATGTACCTACATTAGGTACATTTTAACGGTCGTCTATAAAAAGCATGTCTCAAGAGTCAATATGCGAGATGGCGAACTATGCCTCTTCGGCATGCAACTTTGGTTAGTTGGAAGAAATCTAACATCACAATTATATATACTACAGTCTACACCTGGCACCTGTAAAAATCATAATGTCACAATAAGGATATATCGGAAGTGTATTTCGTCCTGTTGTAACTAAAGAAATTAAACTGAGTATAAGACCCCGAAGTGACCCGGTACCAGTTTATACAAAGTCCCTTTCACCTCCCCTTAGCCTTATAGGACCTAGCCTTTAAACACACCCCGCCCGTTCTTCCCAACATCCTCCCTCCTCTTTCCACACCCGAGCCCGATCGTGCATATATACATGTGTGTGTGCGTATTAAAAAAAACAACCCGAGATATCGCGCGCCGCCAAGTCTCCGCGACTAGGTCCAGCCCGACTAGGTCCCTAGGGCGCACGGAAGGCCGGTAGATAGACGGACGGACGGACGGACGGACTGATTGATTTAACCGCCGCTGCTGTCGCAACGCTTGTCCTTGTTCGGATCGCAGTTATCGTCGGAGCGGCGGCCGAAGCCTCCGGAGACGTGGCCCGGGTCGGCCGGAGGAGGAATCGCCTCGCCGACGGTCAGGCCGGGAGGGCCCTGGTGGAGGAAGAATTGGCCGCCGGCGTGTAGATTGTCGCACTCGGTCTTGGCAACGACTTTGGTGGTGGCTCCGTCTACGCAGTACGTCTCGGCTTGGACGGAGGCGGCTGTTGCGAAGAAGGCTGCTGCGGCGACTTGCAGGGTCGGCAGGGCGATGTGCTGGCGCTTCATGGTGGTAGACGCCTTGGTTGACTAAGGGTTGAGTAGTTGGTTGGTTGGTTGTCTGTTTTGTATATGATGGATAGATCGATCGAAGCTCGAAGACAGAAAGTCCTAGGATTAGGTCTTCCAAGGTGTGGATTTCTGCTCTCTCCTTGAGGCTTAGGATGGCTGGGGGAGGCCCGGTTTATATATTCTTTGGTAGCGGTGTGATGTGATGATACATAGTCTGGGATAAACTCCATGACTGTTTGGCCGTAGTTAGTTACCCCAGTGGAGGTGATCTTTCCTATGATTGCTCACGCCGAGTCATTGTTTGTCTGTGTCATGGGGCTGTGCCGATGAGTGTTGGTTCAAGTCCGTGGGTTTCGCTGACGCGTGAAGAATGAAGATTCCAAATGTGTTAAGTTACTAGTATTATTTAATGCGCCGTCATGTCCTGAGATAGTGGATACCCCAAAGGAAAGCATGACCTGTTATTGTTTGCTCCGGTGGACGTGTGTTCCTAATCCAGCTCTCTACATATAATCGTAAGCGCACTCTATGGCAAATAACTATATAAACCCACCATCTTTAGCGATTTGGCGATACAGAAACCGTAGCACAGTAAAGGTAATCGGTATTATAGACAACCAAGATGCGGCGTATACAAGTGGAAAAGCGACCTAACGCGACTCGGCTCGTCCAGAGCCAAGGCCTCGTATACTCCAAGACGCCCGCGCCTGGAGATACCTCAGACCCATATTGGCCAGACAACAGATACTATTCTTTCAACAGCAAAGAGATCGAGCTCCTTGAGAAAGCCGGGCAAGACGTCTTCGCCATGTGTTGCGAAGCTGCCGATATCCTCGTAGAAAGCCCAGAAGTGATGACGAGCAAAATGGCGATTCCCGCATTCGCGCTCAGACAGATCAAGGAATCGTGGAATCGGGATCCCGCTTGGGGAAGTATTTACGGCCGTTTCGATATCTGCTTCGGCGGGCTCGACCATCCGGACCCGAGACTGCGGGTGCCCAAATTTTACGAGTTCAACGCGGACACGCCGACGTCGGTTGTAGAAGCCGCGTCGATACAATGGTTCTGGCTCGAGCAGACAGGCCACGGAAACGACCAGCTCAATTCTATCACCGAGAGGCTCATCGACGCCTGGAAGAGGAATCTACTTCTGATAGAGAAGGCGTTAGGTCATCGTCCCGTCGTCCACTTTGCCATCGGACACGGCGAGCATACGGGAGAAGATGCCATGAATACCACGCTATTAATGGACACTTGCCAGCAGGCAGGATGGACCACTAAGTCCTTGTATGTAGAGCAGATCGCCAAGTCCCCCTCCGGCCGATTCTTCGACCAAGACGGCCAGCACATCGACGTCGTCTTCAAGCTCTACCCGTGGGAGTACATGGTGGAGCAAGACTTCGGAGAAGCATGCTTCCAGGATATGGAGCGGGTTGGACAGCGCAGCGCGGCCGGCGAATACGTCGGAGGTACGGTCTGGATCGAGCCGCCGTACAAGATGCTCTGGAGCAACAAGGCCCTGTTCGCCATATTATGGGACCTCTTCAAAGACGACCCTCGATCCAGATGGCTTCTCCCGACGTACTTGGAGAACGAGGCGCCTGCCTCCCTGACCCGATTCGCGCGGAAGCCGATTTTCGCGCGCGAGGGCGCCGACGTCGTGCTGCAGTCGGACGGAGACGTGATTCAGGACGCGAGGACGGGGCGCTACGGCAAGGAAGGCTACATCATGCAAGAGCTCGCGCTGCTGCCCGAGTTCAAGGACGAGCAGGACGAGCAGGACGCCGCGTCGTACTACCCGGTGCTAGGCCTATGGCTCATAGACGGCGACGTAGCGGGGATGGGGATCCGCGAGGACAAGACGCCCATCACGACGAACGGATCGTGGTTCATCCCGCACTCCATCTCGGACGGGCCGGTGTGCTACGACAGGACGCGGATACCTGATGCGGACGAGATTGAGGCAGCGCTGACGCTGGAGAGCTATGCGGATCTGAAGCAGTCTAATGGGGGGGTGATGGAGTATATAGAGAGTGTAGTGGGCTAAGTAGTCTAGTCTTTAGCTATTACCTACATACTACATATCTGATTCTGCCTCGTATGCATGAGTTCGTAGCCATTTCCCCGAACAATCAAACCACCCAGTAGTAAGCCTGGAATCTATAATATAGAAGTTATTCTAGTTAGTAAAATATATGCGATGCATGACACCAGTAGGTAGGTATTTTTCAGTCTGTACATTAGGTAACTAAAGGTAATGCGAAGACCCGCAACCCTTTAACCGGTAACGATAGCTTCGTGCCAAGACGTTACTATACTATAGCAGACGAGTTTCGAGCGAATTGACCTGACAAATATAAGCTAAATTAAGGAAATCGAAATTCATCAGTTGGTCCAATCACAACCATCACATGGTTTCCTGGTGTAATGGCTAGCACTGCGGATTCTGATTCCGCCAATCTGGGTTCGATTCCCAGGGAGACCTTTCATTTTGCATTTTTTGCATTTTTCGCACTTTGTCTATTATTATTTTTTGCATTTGTCTATTCGTTGAATTGTGTATATTGTTATTATTATTTTGTCAACTTTGTCGAATCCGGCATAACTATAGATTCTTTACTTTTTTACGCATTGGATTTATCCTATCTATTTGGTTGGTATTAAGACTTCTATGTTGCTTTTTTTTTCGGTTCGCACTGACTCTGCCCCCCCGTCTCCCCCCCCCCCCCCCCTATATAGCCTACATGGTGGTTTTTAGTATTTTCTCCGCGAGTTGCTTCATCCCGGTTGACTGTATATATGAGGTAGGTATAAACGCGAGTAGTATATACAAGTATAATACAATCGCACCTCCTTAGGCTAGAGGCGAGAACTACATAAAACGTGTTATCCCTTCGGTATGTCGTGAACTTCATATCGTAGCATATGTATAGTTGGACTTAGAATACGGCATGTCATTTTCCGCTATCGCTACGAAAAGTCCCAGTGACCTTATCCCACAGCGTCTCCTCACCCCTCGCCTTTCGTGCCTGTCTATCTTGCTCCTGCTGCTTCCACAAGTCCTGCACCCGCGATGCGACTTCAGCTTTGGCACGGAATTCCGCCCTGATGGCCTCTTCTTCTGCGACTCGGTCTTCCTCGGGAACTTTCTTTAACCGCGCCCTAAGAGTTTCCTGTTGTTCTTGTGTCAACTCTTCTACTGGTTGTTGTGCTTTTGGTTGCTGGTCTAGTCTCGGTATTAATGGGGGGAACCGAGGAATTGGACGACCCTCCTCCCTTGCTGCAGTGATCTCTGCCTCTTGCGACAGCATGCGGTGGTATAGTGTGTCGGCATGCATTTGGATCTCTTCTTCGGCTTCGGGAGAGCGGTCGAGAGTTGATAGGTAACCCAAGGCCTTTAGTAGTCTCTGGTTATAGAAAATAGATAGTTACAATCAGCACAACTACCTCTTTTAAAGATCAAGATTTAAGGATCGAGATACTTCGTAGGGAAAGGAGTAAAGATGGTTCACCTACAGTCTGCGTCATGTAGCACTTCTCAAACTTCCTGACCTGATCGCGGCACAAAGTCATGCGCTCCGCCATCGACGGATTCGACATGCACTGCCTCCAATCGACTTGCTCGAGTGCGCAGTTCTCTAAGGCCGCCTTGCCAATCTGGCTCTTGCGCTCCTTATACCCCTCCAGCACGTCCATTAGCTTCTCATGATCGCTCTTGGTCTCGGCCTCGATCTCAGCCAACGGCCTATACGTTTTCCATAGATGCGCATATCTGCCATCTGGGAATTGGCTTTCCTTTGGAACAACTGGTGCATTTTTCTGCTGTTCTTCTACCTCCGTTATCGTCGGAGCTGCTTGCTCCTCCTGTGCGCGGGGTTGCGTCGTCTGCGCGGCGCTGTATTTCACGGGTGATTCTCGCTCTAGGAATTCGCGGAGCTTCGGGTCGAGCTTTCGTAGCGGGTCGTCGTTGGAGCTCGACGCCCATATACTATCCCACCAGCCCATGGCAGATCACGAGGTCTATATAAAGATAATTGTTAGTTCACTCCATAGACTCTAGAGTTCTTTTGCGAAGAAGCTTTATTAACCTAGAGACTCGAGAGGTGCGTTAATTGCCAAAATTCGTTATCGTTCGTTATTAGATCAAGATATGCAACTAAAAGTATTATTCTAAATATGATAACAGGTACTAGCCTACTAGGTACCTATGTATCATCCACCAATCCTCTACGGTGTGGATTACACAACGTTGCACTAGAGATACTAAGGCTAGATACCTACAGGCTACACTGGCTCCCTATCTCCGTAGTATATAGAGCTGAAACAGGCTTTGAGAGTCGAGCTTGTAGAATACCTCCTAATTTAAACAGTTGGGGTAGTGTCTCGCATATTTCATAGTGAGCAAGGATTTCAGAGGTCAATAGACGAAAAGGTAAAGTACTATCGAAACCGTGGGAAAACTAAAAGGAGTTGAGAGCTGGATTATCCTTACATTATCACCATGGAAAAGTTGACCAGATTAGGTGGGTGGTGATAGCTTTCTGGGATAGGTATTATGAAAAGGCTTTAAATGATATGCTATTGCGTCGTACGATAGCTCTATCATACGGCGTGGTGGAATTGGCCTATAAAGCTTTGCCCGCATTGCCTTTCTCTCCGTAAACTATACCATACCTACGTTCTACATATGCAACTCCCTACACGCCTACCAAAGCAAATATTGCAACCAAATAAGGTAATAGGCCACTGGCTACGAAGGACGGGAAAGAAATCGTTATTCCGTTGGTAACTAATCAAATTCATGATGAATTATTGTTAAGCAAACTCGCAATAGACGTTCGACGACAATGCGGTCTCAGTCCACCCAGAAACTCAGCATGTCAAGACTGAGGGGACTCGAAGGGGTTTTATGTCGAGCTAGCCGCCCATACACCGTGGGTAAGTTGCAGTACACCATAATCATGCCGTCGGGAAACAAAACGATGCGTCTGGTATATCCTTTTTATTTCTCAGAACTGCCAATGTTGCATCTCTGTGCACTAGCAGAAAGCCTATGAATCACCCGTTCCGTATCTGAGATCGTGAAGAACCATGAAGTAACAACGCCATCGATGCCCAGGAAAGATCCCCAACCTAGAACTTGCTGAACTTCTTCACCGCCTTGCCGGTTCGGGGAAGCACACGAAGAACGTTGAATCGGACCTATACATCATATTAGTTGGTGATTTTGTTTCAACCCTTCGAAACATCATTCGCAGTATATATCCCACACAGCTCGTAGGGCGATAAGAATAACGTACAGTCTTGCTAAGAGGTCGGCATTGGCCGACTGTGACTTGGTCACCCTCCTCAACACGGAAAGCGGGAGAAACGTGCGCGGCCAAGTTCTTGTGTCGCTTCTCGTATCGGGCGTACTTGGGGATGAACTTAAGGTACTCGCGTCGGATGATGACGGTTCGGTGCATCTTGGTGGAGACAACGGTGCCGGTCAGGATACGGCCACGGATGGAGACGAGACCAGTGAAAGGGCACTTGTGGTCTGTGTTGAAAGTAGAATTAGCTTCATATTCCCGGTACCATTCTTTTTAGAATTCGCTATATCAAGTCGCGAACTTCGCATGTTTCTGAGTGTTTCCCGAGGCGACTATTCGTACAATGCAATCGGCGCGGCATAAACGATCCCAAATCCTTCTTCCAAAAACCTTTATATATATATATATATATTATCACGTACCGATATAGTTGCCCTCAATCGCGGTCTTGGGGGTTTTGAAGCCTAGACCGACATCCTTCCACCATCTTCGGCCACCCTGAAGAGGATATTTGTTAGCACATTGATCTTGTTAGTAGAACAGATATGCGAATAGTGTTGTCTCACCTTGCCGGGTTTGTTGGACTTGGACTTGACCTTGGAGTTCTGGGAGATATGGGGCTGCTTCTGGTAAGCACGCTCCGACTGAACAGTCAATTCCGTCGCCATTTTTGCGATATGTTGTCGAGGTCGCAAAGGTGGTTGGGATCGGGATCGGGAATCGTGGTGTTGTTGTGGTGGTGGTTGCGATTTTGCGGAAACTTACCAAAGATTGAAAATAGGAAAAATCTCAAAAAGTTATTGTGTGGGCTCGCTTGTGGGATGTGTGGGGATCCACCATGATAGAGAGGTTCAGCCCCATTGTGGCTTAGGCACTACCCTTACTGGGCAAGCTGGGGCAAGCTGGGAAGTACTAGGTACCTGGGTACATCTGTAGGCGCAGTGGAAATGGCGCTCAGACCACCTATAACGCATAACACATAACGATAAAGTCAGATAAACTGAGTGGACCCTGTATTGTAATGAAACCCCACCAACGTAATGTTCAATGTTTACAAACAACCCTGGTCTCAATTGACGCGAGCCTATGGGAATCAATTTAGCTCAATGTTAGGTTATCTAAATCAAACTAAACATATCAAACGCGCCTACATACAGAGTTGATGAGGCACCTCTACATTCCTCACAACTTTTAGCTCATAGAGTTTCTGTGCTTAGGACATTGTGATTCTTATATTTGACTCGCCAATAACGCAGTACGATAACTCCTTAACGGCAGTAACATCCTTAGACTATGCGATATCGATCCCTTGCCGAAACTTAACATAAACTTATAACTTATATCAGTCTTTGTTACCAACATGTCTGGTCGCAACGACGCAACCATCCCCTCCACTCGACGAACGAGAAAGTCAATCGGACTGTCGCCTGGGAGGAAGAAGATGGAGAAAGAAAACATCACTGTCGACGTAGCCAGTTCTTTAGCAGGTAATGGAGGTAGAAAGAAGTCACGAAGCAAGAGTATAGGACCTGGTGGATTGGATGCTCTAAAGCCAGGATCGGGTAACAGACGAGTGGTATGCCACCCAACTTCTAACTATAACACTCCTAAAGCACATAGACAACTTATACCCTCAAAACAGTCTTTAGCAGCTCCTGCCAGACCACCCCCGAGATCAATTCTTAAGCCTACGATGCCATTGCTACCGGAGATCCCCTCCTTCAAATCTAAAAAGCCTGCCCGGAATTCGCCTGCCTCATCTACCGCCCAAGGAGCAGACAAGTTACCAGCCCCATTTCAGACCGACGACTCTGGGTCATTAGGAACGAAGATCGCCGTACGCACCGAAGAGGAACAACAGGCCGCTGCACGTGAAAGGGAAGAACGAGAAAGAGCCGAGATGGAAAAGGAGATCAATGATCGCCGAGAGGCTCGAAGAAAATCCCTTGCTAATCGAAGAGTCTCGTTTGCGGCTGAAGCTACCCTTCACACTTTTCATGAGGTCGAATATATGCAAGATTCTACAACCTCGACTGACTCTACAAGACGAGCATCGTCGCTCGCCGCTCAAGGACAAGCATCTGATTCACGATCTAGTCAGGCAGGTCAAGCCGAAGATTTAGTTCCCAATTCCCCAGAGCAACAAGATACTCATGACCAGAGAAGACGCAGAAGCTCGGGCGTCAGCAACCTAGGTTTCAACCAGGACGACACGATGGCCTCAAGTATCTATAGTTCAGACTCCGAGGGGACGGACGATGTGATAGAAACCCATGAAGAGATCGGTTCAGATTCCGGCAGCGACTCCGATGCCGACGGTGTATCAATGGACCTGGACGTCGACGAAGTTACCGGCACCTCTGTCGCATCTGCTATGTCAGCTCGGTCGGCTATTACTAATGACTCTAATGACACATTAGACACAGCTCTCCGACTCGCATCTCGTCGCGCCGAAACTCAGAGCCTCGACGAAGAGGAAGAGATTATTCCATCGTTTGGGTGGGCTAAAAAGCCCGCTCCGAAACGAGCGAGCCCTGCCCAAAATCAAGAAAATGCTGAGCAAGAAGATACCGGTGGCATGGACATGGACATGGACATGGATATGGACATGACAAATGCTGTAGGTGGTATTATTAAAGCCAACGATGATCCCTTAGAAGATGCCCAAGACGAAGAGATGTCAATGGATGTCACTCGAGTGCTTGGTGGCATTCTCCCTTCGCTCCACAACACGCGAGATACACAGCCAACTAGTCCAGACAAAACCAAAGAGGAATCTTTGATCGAGGATGCCCCTATGGATCTTACTGTTGCGGTTGGCGGTATCCAAAAAGCCCCGCAACCTGATAACAATCTCTTTGACCCCGATGATGATTATGAAGACGAGGACATGTCAATGGAGTTCACTACTGTTGTAGGTGGTGTTCTTTCTGGGAAAAGACTCGATGCCTCCGCAAAGAAAGCGTCCCAAGGCCGACGTCGTACCATTGCAGCCGCTGATGACGAAGCAACGATGGACATGACAGCAATGGACATGACAGTCGGAATGGGCCGTATTCTCCCCTCTAATGAGCATGACGAGAACGATGAAGATGCCACAATGGGCATGGACATGACCGTGGCCATGGGCGGAATCATCAAGGGCCCACCTTCAGCAAAGGACCGGGTTGAAGCCAGGCGCCAGATGGAACGGGAGGTTGATGAAGATGACAATGTACCAGCATTGAACTCGTCTGCAAAGCGACGCCTATCCGCAGTTATCTCTGGTACGAACGTATCAGAGTCGGGCAGTCCTGCATTATCCGCGTCCAGAGGCAAAGGGTTTCGTCGCACTGGTGAATGGCGGAGGTCCGTCACACCGGGCAGTTCTCCCGTTCGAGACGTAGCGACACCTAAGTCTGCAATTCCAACTAACGCGGGCACTCCCAACAGCCAGGGACCCAGAACCCCATTAAGAAATTTCCCCGTGAAGATGCCAAAATCACCTGCTACCGGTAGCCAAAATGGTTCTGGCATATCCTCTACGCCCAAATCCGCTTCTAAAAAGAGTCAGTTGTCTGTTTTTCAACAAGATCCTACAACTGGGGTGTCGACACCGCGGGTTATCCTGACCCCTCAGAAGAGGCGACTGTCGGGTGTAGGTGCCGATAGGCCTGGTCTCGGATCACCTAAGGTGGCCGCTATCTTTGACCGGCGTGAATCCATTGGCGATGCTGCAGATAGCTTTGTTCCCCGTGAACCCTCAAGATCTGTTGCCTTCGCGGACCCCCGTGTTATGGAATATGAAGTAGACCGTGAACGCCAACTGGAAGCAGACAAGGAGAACGGCCGCAAAGTACTTGAAAGGGAAGTCGATGGAGACGAGGAGAATACAGCAAGTCTAAAAGATATGATCTCCAGTATGACTCCTAAGAAAAATCCTATGAAGGGACGGAAAAGTCTGCATGTAGGCAGTGCTAAAGGTCTTCTTGGTAAACGTCCTGCCGAGCTTGACGATGAAGAGGAAGCTGAGGAAAGGGATGGAATCAAGCGACTCAAGAATCATCAGAGCAGCCCCGTCAAGAACGTACGCCTACATGCGCCTCCTTCGAAAGCCGAAACGACGGGGCGAGTGACTCGCTCTTCCAGCAAAGGCTTAGAGGACGTCAGCGACAATAGGGCCACTTCAACACCAGTATTTTCGCCTAAGAAAACACTTACAGGCGTACCATCTCCTCATGCAAGAGGACGCTTCAAAGAAGTCGACACCAATCATCCTACCAGTACTCTCAATCTTGACGAGTCTCATGTCATGACTGATGCCGAGGCTCAGGTGGATGATGACGGAGAACAAATGCATCTACAAGACTTTCTGAATATGACAAATATTCGCTTCATGGAGTTAACGACGACAAAACGACGACACACGCAAGTTCCCACCAACGTAGCAGATAACGCTGCATCCGAAGAAGATATGTCCCTGGAGCGATGCGTTGTGGCAGGTGCTTGTACGGTTCCTATGCTGGAATTGTACCAACATGTAAGGATGCGTTCAACTTCGAGAACCTCAAGATGCTAATTGTTAATAGTCCTGTCGAGAACTTAAAAAATATATTTCAGAAGGCAGGAGAATAGTTCGTGAGATCGAAACAGAGACTCTAGAAGACAACCCACCGCTTTTCAAGGAATACATCACTGCAACACCCGAATACAAACTCTTCTTAGATAATCAGTTCAAGAACGTCAAGTCGCATGCGCGACTATTAAGCAAAGCCATGTGGTATGAATGGCGCATGAAACTTCAAGATGGGCTCAAGGAGGGTCTACTAAAGATCGAAGAAGGTATGGCGGCCGACGAGCAGCTATTGCACCAAGAGCAGGAATTACTCGATTCGATTCTGCCTAAGCTAGTGGAGCAACTCGCATCATTAGAGCTAGAACATGATAATTTACAATCTGCTGCGCAGGAGCTAGCAGACTGCGACCCCGAAGACTTACAAGCTGCCCGGTCCGAGCTGACGGATCTCGACTCGGACATTGAAACGAAACTGAAGAAAATCGAGCAACTAAGGCAGCAACTGAGCGAGACTGAATCTGGAATCGGCGAGCTATCACAAAGGAAGAAGGAATGCGTTGCCGATATAGAAGAAGCTGAGAAAGTTCGTGAGCAATGTAGGGGTTGGACCTCTAATGAAGTCAGCGCCCTCAAAGGTCAGTATCTCTTTTAGTCTAAAATTTAACATGATGGAGGGCTAACATAACGCAGCCCGCGTCGAAGCGATTGAGAAGCAGCATGGCTGGGCCATTACAGGCGTAGTTGGGACCTCGCTGTCGATGACATACCGAAGAGAGATCGAACTCGTCTTTGATGTCCGCGCTTTCAAAGGTCTAAAGCCCGATAACTCGAGGATTGATCTGCGGTATATTGCAGCCAATCGGGAACAGAACCCACTGCCAAGTACGCCGGAAAAGGAATTTTTTATCCAGTGCACGCTGGATCACATCCGAGGATTGGCCCAAGCGCAGACCAAGATCAAGAATCTTCTAGATATGGTTAGTACAGCCTGGAAGAAGGCCAATCACGTTGCGAGAAACGTGCATCTCCTGAATACTACCTACCGAACCAAGGTCACGAAAACTTCAGATTCGTCTATCTCGATCCGCTCATGGGTGCTGCTTGTCCCGTTGGAGACCAAGGTGGAGGTCGTACTCAGCTTACATGGTCAGAGTACTCCAGACGGCGTAGATGTCACCATTACGCCCCAGGCACGAGTGGTCTACGGAGAGCAATTTAAGGAAGATAAGATTGTCGAGTTCCTCACAACAAAGATAGGCGCACGCGTGGTCACGAAAGAAGAGAGCGGGACTTTTGAGCCTTGGGTCGAGGTCCTCGTTGAGCTCCAGGAGAGACTGCTTGCGAGGGGACGGAAATGAGGGCAAATGGGTAGCATATTTCCTATCTTTCTAGCTTCTACCTTGTCTTGATATAATGACTTATGACCATAATTGGCGCGTATCGGGGATGGTCTCAACGAGGATACGATGAGTAGAGGGCGTTTGTTGGTGTATTGTTAGGGTATATACCATTGTTTGGTTTATTTATGTCTTGTTCTAACCCAAGATCCTGTCCTTGGGATACCAATACAAAAGTTTTAACTAAGTTTGACTTGCTCATTAGCATCATCGCGGAGATTCTAGCATGGTTAGACATGGTCTTGGAGTTTTTGTGTTTTTGATTTAGGGATATGGCTTAGATGACGCGGTGAGAGTGCTTCAGGATGGAATTGTTTTAATTAATTACTTCATGCTAATTACGATATCAAGACGCGGGGCCAAAACTTCGCATCTCGTCAGGTTTTAGTAGGTACATAATTATAACAGTCTAGTATAAAGCACATCTTTGATATACTATATGAAGTAAATATTATTGTCGTGCTATATGTCAGGATATAATGGTCTATCTATTATATCAGAGGCGCGCAACGCCCTCGTAAGAGGATAAAGGGCCAGGCGTTACTGGTTCGATGCTATCTATTACTTGGCCTACCTACCGTAGACACTCACTCTGTGTATGAAAATCATCAACGGGTATCAATATCTGACAATATAATAGGGTTATCCGGTAGGGTAGCTGTTGAATACCGAATTTATATGAAGGCTATGCTATGCCTTTGCCACTATTTTTAGAAGGTCATAGGTTAACACGGTCACTAATATGCTACTGTACTAGTAGATGGATATTTATCTCTCATTCCGTGCTACACGATACGTGGACAACTACCTATACCTACCTAAGGTCAAGGAATGTATGGTTTATTGGATATAAATAACAGAAAGGTAGCTACTGTTTACGGCCGGCCCAACCAACGAAGTATCAGACGTTACTACGCAACTTGGGGGGAGGGGTTTGTTTACACGTAGGTTGATTCAATATTAGCTACCTAAGTACTTAGGTAGTTTAGTTGCATAGATGGCCAACTCCTGAAAGCAATAACATAATATGTCGATTTCTACTAGACATAAGCCCATGGTATACAGTCACGCACATTTAGCGCAAGGGGTTAGAGGTTCCCCATAAAGACTTACAAAGTGGTTACCAGGCGGCTAATTGCTACCTAATGTATATGGTATCTCAACCCAGCTCCACTATCTTACTGTAGTCTTTCATTTTTCCCTGACTCATCTGACAACAGTTCAAGATTAAAACTTCACTGACACCTGGGTAATGCAAAGTAGATGGAGAATTAAAAAGCTAGTGTATCCACTGAGCAAGTACTGTAGTTCAAGGCTATTTGGAAAACTTGATCAGTTCCATTAGAGAAAAGAACTGGGTAAACATGTTGTGTCATAATAAAAATAAGAGAACCAGAGGTCAAACATTAGCTACCTAGCCGACTGCCAATCTTGTGAGGTTCGAGGTAAATATATCAAATAAGATTATGTCCTAGAATGTAGCATTAATAGCCTTAGAGAGCGTTGCAAAACTACCCCTATTTTAAACCATGAGCAATACATAATATAAACATCTTTACTAATTATTCCTACTATTTGTATGCTATGTGATGGCTCCAGGCGTGAGGGTAGTAATTAATGTCGTCGAGAGTAGAAGTGCCCTCCAACCACATTGTTTACCCCTTTTCTAAGATCACCGAGTAGAGTCATTGTCGTTGCTAGGAAAATAATAAGCTCTTATTCCATTACTATCTATCTAGGTATTTACTTAGGTACCTACCTAATTACTCATAGTTATTCTACATGTACGCATAGCCGCGCAAGCAAGTCTGGAAGTGTGCGTGAGTGTTTATGATATGTTTTCCCAATGTATTCTAGCAAACCACAAGTGGTAGTAACAGATACCTAAGGTACAATAGTAAGATGGCTACGAGAGAGTAGATACATATAAGGTGCGTGCGTACCATAGCACGTACCTGTTGTATTTACCTAACTTACAGAATCGCTTCCTTACTTCTATGTGTAGGTACCTAGGTACGTACGGGTTGAAGCTTTGTATATATCTTGAATTACTGCAAAATATGTCAGTGCATCACTGACTTAGGTGGGTTGTAAGTCATAACTTCCTAACAAACATTGAGTTCCATAGCAACTGTAGTCGTACCTTCCTTCCATATCTCGAGTTGGTTACAAAGTACCAAGGCACAAACATTGTTTGTGTAGGTTAGCAGCTGCTACTGTGTTTGTTACCCGTCACCTAGGACCTCCGTTGCCCAGCATCACCAACCTTCCTGCCGCCTTGCGTAGCAACACACCGCCCAAGAAATTATTATAAAAGAAAGCCCTCCCTCCCCGAGTCTCTGAATTTCCTCTTCTTCCTTTCTTCTTCCTCAAACATTTTGTTTACGCTCGCATACTCTCGCATACTGCACTCTGCCTACGCACTCTGCAATACGCACTCTTACGCACAACGTCTACGAAATGTTTTCTCACGCTCTGATCTTCTTGGTCACCCTTTCCCTCGCATTCACCTCTATCCTCACACACCTCTTCTCTTCTATCCGAGCTATCACTACTTCTTCTATCCGCCTTATCACGATGCCTTCCCTAGCTACCCTCGTCGCGCCCCTCTACTCTTCTTCCGCCGTCATCATCACCCCTCTTCTTACCGGTATTTTCATTGCTTTCGGGCGCGTCCTAGGATGGCCTTCTATTTCCGAATTCATTCCTTTTGTGCTGGGACTTGCCACGTACCTTTTCAAGGTTCACCCAGTACTCGGGTTTGTTTGCGTTACCTTCTTTTCTCTCCTTGCGGTCATGGTTCTAGGTCTATCCGACGAGGCCGACGTCTCTACGTGGTTGGTGATCCCCTGGCTCATCATGCAGGCTGGCCTGTGGATGTATACATCCTATGGTTGGTATGCTTGGTGGGCCGCGTCCGTCGCTATCGCCATCAAGAACTACGGCATGTCGCCTCCTGTCTGGTGTATCCCACAGATCCTTGTTTGTCTGTGGCTCAAGCTGTAAGTAACTTTTTTCTTTTCTTTTGTTTCTACCTTTCCCTATTGCTACTATTGCTGTCATGCTATTATACTATTCAACATTCATCATACTCTTCTATCATATTGGTTATTGTATCCTTTATAGTCTTGTATTCCTGTTATCCTTATACTCATGTGACTTGTATTTTCTCATTACCCCTATGCCCCTATGTCCCTATGTCCCTATGTCCCTATGTCCCTATTCCCCTATACTCTTCTTACCCCTATGCTCTTGTTACCTTACCCACCTTGTCAACTCTATTATTTACTACATGTCTTATTTGAATAACACGTACTAACTTATTCCTAGACTGTGGTCTGATCTCAACGAGGAACACATTCGTCTATTTGGCTATCGCCATTGTCCCGATTGTGTGACATACCTTTACAATGAGCTTCAGAAGCTTGAGTGGAGTCTTGACACCCGCGAACTTATGAGTTGGGGAGACTGGTCTGTGGCTCTTGTTCGTCGAGTCACAGGGCAGTTCACTACTCGCCCCCTCACTCCCGCCCGCCCTGTCTCTCCTGCCAGTTCTCTCTCTCCCGCTCTCCCTCAGCCAATCCCGCTGTCGAATCCCGATGGTCCCATGGTTACTTGTGAGCAGGTCACCACTCTTAAGGCTGCCGAACCTGAAGCCTTCTCCAACACGCAGAGAGTGTACCGCCCACACCGACTTGTGAGTAACCAGCAGAAGGGTAAACAGCAACATGAAAGGCCCTTGATCGAATTCCCGCCAAGTACTTTTCGTACCTTTAGGCCTCTTTCTACTGCTCGACCCCTTTCCACCGCTCGACCTCTCTCTGCCCTTACGCCTCGTCCTGCCACCAACCCTTTTGTCAAGCGTACCTCATGGTCGGATCACTTCACTCTTCCCCTCAAGTATCAAAGGCAGCGGGAACGGCAGCGGGAACGGGAACTTGAGATGATCCGTCTCGAGCGCGAAAGTCTCGAACAGGCTAACAGGATGAGTCATCCTACACCCTCGGGCAACATAGGTTTCTTTGCGCCCACTTTCCTCAACGGTGCCCCTATCTTCGGTGCGCTGGCCGTATCTGCTCCTGTGCCGGTTCCTGAGATTCAGCTACCCCCCCAGCCAACTTACCAGCAGGTGTTCCACCAGCCGGAATGGGTGCCCGAGTCTCAGCCGCCCCAGCTTGCGTCAGTGGTTGTGTATCCAGCCAACAATGTCAACATCAACACCCCTTGTGAACCAGCTGTTCCTGCGCTGGGCCAAGCCGTTTACACTGCCAACCACATCGCTACGCCTTTCCATGTCCCGCCCCAAGAGCCAGCGCCAATTGTACCAGTACCCATGGACGTGGACAGCCCGGAGCAGGAGGAAGACCCGGCACCAGAACCTATGGAGGTCGAGGAGGAAGAAAAGCCTGGCTTGATGTCGGCACAGGAGATGGAGGACGAGCTTGTTGAACATTTCAACAACCTGGCCAGCACCAGCGACAACACCAATGTTGGCCAGAGCGACAAGCCGGACGACGAGCCAGGCTACGAGAGCCTGGACGATCGTATGGGTGCCTCGCCATTCAACGACTGCAAGATCAGGAAGGATCAAACCCCTGCCAAGTCTCAGTCGCAGCCCATACAGCCTCCATCGACATCGACATCGCAAAGCAAAAGCCTTGGTGGTGGGCTGCAGGCAAGCATGTACAATGTCAACAACCTTGCTTCCGCAGCGCAGACGCCATCGTCCCAGGCTCTGCCATCAGCACTGCAGCCGAAGCCGACAGTCAATCAGTCACCATTGACCAAGGCGTTCGCTCAGCTCTCATTCCCGCAGATGCCACTACCTCAGGCTCAGGCTCAGCCGACAATCGCCCATTCGACATCCGCCCCGCCAATGTCTCTGTTCTCAGTCCCGCAGATGCAACTACCCCAGGTCCCGCCCTCCACGCCTCAGCCGAAGCAGACAGTCCAGCAGATGCCGCTGCCCCAGGCTCTGCCCCAGACGCTTCAGCCTCAGCCGACAACCCCTCAGGTGACCTGGCCCCAAACTGCGCCCTCGACATCGCAGCCTCAGCAGACGACGACGCCCAAGGCCCTGCCCCCCCTGAAGCCCGAGCAGACAACCCAGCAGAAGCCATCGACCCAGGCTCCGCCCCAGACGCCCAAGCTTCAGCCGACAACGTCGCAACTGCCCCTGCCCGAGACTATGCCATCGACGCCTACGCCTAAGCCTAAGCAGACAACCGCGCAGGAGCCATCGTCCCAGGCACTGCCCCCGATGCTAAAGGCCCAACAGGCAATGGCATCATCAAGGCGGATTGCCACGCCAAAATCGCGAATGGCGCTGATTAACCAACGCCAGGCCGAGAAGCCATCTTCTTCGACGACGGCGGCCCAAGAGCCTGCTAAGAAGTCCCGCCCCCAGGCCCGAAAAGCCCCTCGTCTTCCGGGAAAATCCAAGCCAGAGAATGCCACGTCGGTCCTTTACACCGAGCCCGTTGACCCTAAGGGCAAAGGTCCTGCAGTTGACCCTAAGGGCAAAGGTCCTGCAGCTAAGCCCGCGGCATCGCAACCGGAAATCGTCGATGAGGAAGAGGACTTTGAAGACAAGGTCTGTGAGTTTATGGATAGTGGCATGGGCCATGAACAGGCCCATATCATGGCAGAGCACTATTTCAACCAGCGAAGACTAAACCGTCGTTGAACTTGACTATTGTCCGGTCTCGACACTGATTTCCCTGGTACTCACGCCACATTTATCCTTACTCAGCTAAGATCACCTGGTACTGGTCGGCTCTTCAAGCACAGAGATTCTCCTCTCTCTCTCTCTCCTATTTGAACTAACTAGCAACTTCCTAGCGCTGGGCCGGCCGATGCTATATTGACAGCTTAAACCACTCCTAGGAACCCATTGGGCGACGGAGGGGGTCGGTCGGCCGCCATTCGTGATGATCTGGACCCTTGATACCCGCGCAAGCAGGAGATTGGTATAAAATGCACGTCTGGCCGCCCACCCTTGTCTAGAAGCACGTCTCTTCTTGCGCCTCTTGAACTTGAAGCAGAAGTGTGCGGGACATGAAGCTCGATGAACCTGAGGAACCTCGGAGAAGGGGGAGAGCTTTTGGTGTCAGGTGCGATCTCGTGGTAGTTGGCGAAGGTGCCATGGGATCGTGTCCTGTTCGGCGCATGGCGGGTTCTGAGTCTTCCGAGTGATCCTAGATCAGGAGGTTGCGAGGACTTCGCTACAGCTTACTTCGAGTTGTCTGGTTTTGTTCTACCTCTATTACCTAATTGGCACCTGTCTGTTTGTCTCTCTCTCGGTTATCTATTGGTTTACTGTATTCGCCGACAACGTCTCGTCGCGGTTCTCTTTTCTCGCCGCGCCATCGAGCAGGCTTCCCGACAGCCCGAGATGACAGACCAAGAGTATCGTCAACATACTATTAGCAGAGCAAAAAGGTATAGTCTCCCAAAGGATTTTTAACTGATTATCGTGGTGCTAACTATTTGCAGAACCCCGAGCTCATTCGACTGCTGACATCTGCACCGAGAAGCAAGATGAAGATTTTAAGGACACACGACAACTCGAGGAATAAGAATAAGAACTAAGGATTAAGATCGACACCGAGACGAGCCCGAGGACCAGCACCGAGGAAGCTGAAGAAGATCAAGGACAAGAATACTAACAGCAGCAGGACGACAACAACAACAACAACAACAACCGACACAAGGATACTAACAGGATACTAACTAACAGCAGCGCCGGGTTCTAGGACCTATTATTTCACGGCGAAGCCGTTATTGTTCATGCTCAAATGAAGGGAGACTTGTTCTCCCGCACCATGCGAGCATAAACAGCGACGCCCAGATCAATGCTTTAGCAGGCCCACTACCTATTGTCGCGAGCGCGGAGGGGGCTTCGGCCTCTACTATTCCGCGTCTCGCACAGGCGGGTGGCTACATTTTAATACTCTGATGCCCTTTGGCTAAGTAGTGGTAAGTTAGGTAGCTAGACTTAGGGGTCTATGGAACTGTGGGGTTATGGTCACGGGTTTGCCATGTTTCCAAGCTGGATTCTGGCTTTGGGATATTTACTTGGATTGGTTACCTAGGTACTACTGACATTTAGATCTTGGGGGTGGGATGATTAGGGCTCTTTATGATGAGCAGAAGAGAGAGAAGATAAGTTTACCCTTAATACCTATTCTTACCACCTTCTATTTACCTTCTTGATTGACTAATTGGGTTTGCCTAGGCTCAAGTGGACTTCTGCAGTCCGCTACGCGCGCTCGTGGTGATATTCATGACTGACTTCAAGGGTGGTTTGGTTCGAGATAATGATATATATCTGTACTTTTTACATGTACCTAGTATGCAAGCATAGAACCAAGCTCGGTGGCAGCGGGTTTAATAGAGATTCATGAATTGGTTACATATCGCTACACATCCCGTAATACATTCTGCTACAATCACCTCCATCTTCACGTAAAGCAATGTCCACAACAATTCAAAGGGCACAAACAGTGTAATACTTGTAGACAGGTAGGTTCTATTCAAGACACTTACTCTATCTAGACTCTACTCTAGTTTATGGCTCAGCGATCTACCGAGGCTTTATCTTCGTCCAGCCGCTGGTACCCTTCTCTCTCTCGCGCTCCCTCCCTGCAACGGCCCTGTTAGGCACTCTCGAGTTATGATCGCCGCTACTACCGCTCTTAACAGTATTGACGCTCATGTAACTCTCGATGCCGAAGCGGTGGCCTGGGACACCGGGTTGCCCTTTGTTTGGTGTCCCACCAACCAGCACACCATCGTCAAGCGCGTCGTCTGGTGTCCAGGCGTCGTCTTCTAGCAACTCCCACTCTGGGACCGGGTTCTCGCGCACTAGCTTGGCCTTCAGCTTGTCGACCATCTTAATCACGGTGGGCATCCGGAAGCTGCGCGTAAGATCATTGCCCGCCGCGCTGCCGAGAAAGGTGTGGGCCGTGCCGTGCGAATATAGCCCCATGCGAGGTGCTGTTCTACCTAGCTCAGCCGGGTTGTTGCCGTTGGTCTGGGCAGGCGCCTCTGCTATCTGCTGGGGGTTGCGTTGCAAGGAGGAGTTGATCAGGAGATTATATAAGTTGCGTCCCAGACAGGCGAAGTCTTCGAGACTATTGCTGTTATCACTCATGGGCACGCCTTGTGTCCGGCAGAGCCAGACGATGTCGTAGGCTAGCAGACAAACTGCTTCGAGGAAGGAATTGTACGCCGACGGGTCCTCCTTGCTAAGGACCGACAGGGGCTTCTCGAGAAAAAGGGGCCGAGGGTGCGGGACATGGGCAAATTGACGGTCACGTGGGTCGGGGGGTAGGAGAGAAGTACCGGGAAATGCGACGTCGCCGTGGTGGTAAGAAGACGTCAAGGAAAAGATGGTTGGTTTGGGGTAGTCATTGTGCGGTAGTGTAAATTCTGCCGGAAGACGAATGGACAGGTAGTGAGAGGTAAGCCATAATAAGTGGGTGATATGCGCGAGAGAAGCGGAAATAAGTTCAGGTTGCGCGCCTAGGTTTAATATTAGACTAGGTTGAACGACTACGAGTTACGTTTAGATGAGATACGAGATACTTACTGTTCAAATTGTGTAGGTCGACGATGTCGATGCCGCCAATCTTATACTCGAACCGGACGGGATTCCCGCGACGGACACGTTGTAGTCTATATAATTTGGCTACTTCCATGCACAGCGCGGCGCGGTACTGAGTCATGGCGTCGTACTCTCGGTCCCAAGTATACTTGGCCATCTTGGCGGCCTTTTTAGTCTCCTCAAGCTCCCGGTTTCGCCGCACCGAAACACCCTGGGCCGCGGCGGCAAGATCCGACTTCTTACGGGCGATGCTAGCCTTGCGCTCCTGTATCTCTTTCTTCGCAGCGTCGACCTCTTCGCGGAGCTTCTCTGCCGTCGCTATGATCTGCTCCGTCCTCTCTTTGGCCTTACGTTCCTCCGAGATGCAGTTCTCTACGTAGACTCGAGTGAAGCGATCGTTTGCGGGGGTTTCGGAGCTCGCGTCGCTGTCTGACAATCGCTTGGTGACTCGAGACTCGAGCTCCTCGGCTTCGATGAGAATCCGAGCGTTGGCTATTCGTCTGTCGTATAGTTCGTTCCTCGCATCTACCGCGCAGAAGAAGGGTAACCTCGACGGGTGGTGCATCCGTTGACAAATGTCGCAATTCATGGTGGTGGCGGGACTTGCGGTGGGAACTGACGAAGATTCAATGGTGCGGGATGTCTGTCTGGGGGGGGACGGGGGGATTAAGAGACGCGCTTCTACGGATAGCAAGCGGTCGATTGAAGAACTCCTATTACATTTGCGAGGTAAGCAATCTGCATATCGACTTGCCAGAAGGCTATATAGATATCGACGGAAAAAAAGCGATATGGAATAAACATTGATGAGAGGATGTGAATGGAAAGTTGGAAGATGGGTTCAATGCTCCTTGTGACGTTGAGAGGTGCAGGGGTATGGATTAGGTATGCATGTAAAAGAGGTATTATGTACCTGTTACATGCAGGGGCAGTTGTACTTACCTTATCGGACTCTTATCAGTAGCCTATCAACCTTATTGCGCTTGCCTGCCAAGTCTGTCGAGTCTCGTTCAATTTAAACTTGATTTTTGGGCAGCGACGCGTCTCTCTCGTTGTCTTTCAGGTATGTAACATGTAAGAAGCTGTTCCAAGCTGTTCCTTAATTTATTGTTCTGTGCCTTGGTCTGTTTATATACGAGTCTAAAGTCGGAGTTAAAACAATCAGGTGATTAATTTATTCAGCCTCAGGCTCTCAGCTGCCCTTCCATTCATTCTAATTCTAATTCTACTCGTGAGTCACGAGTCGTCTCTTCTCTACAATATCAGATTATTCTGGACACTGGACGCTTGCTGTTCCGTTTGTCAACGAGAAGTCGACAAAAAACAGCTGTCAGAGACTCAGAGTCATTAAAGTTACGGCTGGCATCATGTCTACCACACCTAGATCGTCATCGCCAGTGAAGCAATCACTTGCTCAGGATGAAATGCCAGGTGATCAATCAATGATGGTAGAGTTACCAACTCATCTGGGTGACCAAACCGAGTTTGTTGATCCTGAGGAGGATGTGACGGTAAAGCTACAATCACAACCGCAGCCGAGATCGCCTTCACGGGCTCAGGGCCCCAAGGTCGATCAGGGCCAAGACATGTCGCTTATGGCTAGACAGTTGGACCGTCAACGTCAGACACGAACTCCCGAGCCACAGAAGCGGCGGAGTAATAGGTCTGAAATGCAGAGTCCCGGTCATCTTGTTGCATTTGATTGGGAAGACTTCGAGGATCGCTATGAGAAAGCTCTACAAGAGGCCGACGAGCAAGAGAAACAGCTCTTGGAAGAGTTTGATACTCTTGTCAAGGTAAGCCGAGAGATCTTATACTATATAGCCATTAGCGACTCGATTAGCGACTCACCAAATTATGGCTAACGCTAAAATCTACTAGTACTTCAACGTCTGGGCGTCAGCTTCGTCCGCCCATGATAATGAGAGAGCGGTCAAGAGGTTTGTCATCCCCTGTCGTGTATTTCTGCACAAAAATGGTAGTTATTAAAAGTTGGCAGACTACAAACTCGCGAGAGACATGTGCGCCTCTCCGAGCAGGCACTCTTACAAAAGAAGCAACATCGTGAGTATTAGTGCCCCTGATTTTTATATCTCCGAGGCTGATTTAAGTAGTATCTGAAGTAGTGAAGGCCTTCCAGAGTGCTCTAGCGCTTCTGAGATCAACCTGAGCTCACATATTCCGTATTATATGTTTATATGGCGGTGCATGATATCAGTGTGCATTCGATGAATATAGGTGAGGTTTACGACTTGACGACTTTTACGATGCTTATGACTTAATTACGATATGGAGTTGTACTTAGCTGCGTACATACAATTTGCTACCGTATCTAGCCTCATGATCTATACTTTACGTTGATGTCTTCTCTCGACACTTGGTCTCATTTTCAGGTAATGAATACATAACGTACGTACCTAAGTACCTACATAGGTACATACATACTCGTAGGTGGGTCGAACGCGACGCGGTTTGGCCATAACCCAAGCCGGTTATCGATAACGTTCAGTTGGTCAGTTGGTTCAGTTGCTACCAAAGCTCCATCAATACTTCCCTTTGCCTCGAAATTCATTTACACCTATTTAACCTTTCTTTCACAACCTACATCGCCTATCCAGCCGCTAGTAGCGATTGGTTTATGTGACAATGTCTACTTCTCTACGAGGCACAGGCAACTTATTCCAAGTGCCAGAAGTTTCGCAGGTACGCTTTTCCGTTGCTGATTCTTTTCTTCAGTTAGCTAATGCTGACTTCTTAGGCAGGAAGAGATAAGCTCTTTTCACGACGCGCACTTCTCTCTTGCAGCTACCAAACTCTTCAGTGCCCAATTCTTCCAGCCGGAAAATGCGCAAGATGAGCAAGATGAAAATCAGTACTATGAGGAATATGAAGAATATTACGAAGAAGAGGATGACGGCTTAGGCTATTATCCAGATGGTGTTAAACGCACGCTTACGGATGAGCAAATCGCTATATTTCGACATTCTGAAATTGAAGCCCTTCGCCGTGCTAAGACTAGAGCCGCTAAGCTCGGGGAGACGTCTACCGCACCGTCGCAAGCGGCCGAGGAAGACGATTCCGCATCTACCAGTAGACCTAATCCTGATTCGATAGCACTATCGTTACCCCCAATACCAGATGAGAGCCATGAGAAATACAAAGGGAAGGAAGAAGACGGGCAGGATGGTAGCGAGGATGGAGAAATCGAAGAAGAGATGCCTAAGCCTACCGAAGCTGAAGTCAAGCGAGAGAAAAGGCAACGCGCGAGACGAAAGAAGCATGAGCAGCGCAAGTTCCATCCCGAGAAGAAGCCCGATTTACGGAAGAGAACATGGGACGTAGTCGAGACTGGTATGGACAGTCTGTACTACGATGATGAAACAGCCCAAGACACGGCTGCCACTCCCGCGGCACAGAGACGAAGAATCTCATACGACGACTGAAGACTGGCGGAAAGAAAAGAATTTTCCATATTTCTCTGTGGTATTCTAGTACCGAAATAACTACTTGATACGCGATTGATCCGTGGTTGAGTGATACCTGGCCAGGTTAGTGCTACATCCCCAATTCCCCTTTGTTTAAGTCGTTTCCGTGATGAGAACCTTTGTATCGTCATCCTTAGTCTGAAAGTCCGGGACCACCTGAAGTTGGCTTCTGGCTGACGGATGGTTGGATTACCTAAACGGATGCATGTCGAATAATTAATCTTCTCTCTGAATGCGTTATACCATCCCTTTTATGCATTATCCCTTTTCTACTACAACAAGCATTGTTGCTGACTACTTGTACTGCAAGTTTTAGGTGAACAGTGGGAAGACTTCGCAATTACAAACAAATGGGTTTGTATTAAAGACTTTGTAACCACATATGCACCTATAGTCAGTCTACTTACGGGGTGTCTCGGATATGTTCTGGTGGTATTACCACTAGAATGTAATTTATCTGGTTCTGGAGGTGGCCATTTGCTACTCTTCGACTGAACATATTATTTAGTTACGCATTGGGTCCAACATTCCCTTACATGACGGAATAAGGAAGGGTGCATTTATTGATAATTAGGTGCGCAAGTGCCTACATAGGTATACAAAGTTTAGCATGCCAGCACAAAGAGCTTATACATATGCTCTCGTCGGCATGAGCTGTTTTAGGTGCTGTGTTGCAGAATACATGAGTAGGTACCTATGCACCTACCTTAGGTTAGGCAGACAACGAGCTATAATAAAATCATACAAGCACCCATTGTTCGGTCCTTCTATTTGTAAAATGAGAAAAATGATTAGGTTAGGGAAGTTGCGCCTAGATTAGACTTCACCTTTCTAGTGTACATCGTACATGGACCTCTCTGGACCTCTCTTAGTACATGTAGTACAGGTAGTAGGCACCGTGTGGATTCAACTTTAGGTAGCACATAAATACTGTTCTCATCCAATCGGCTACCAGTTCGGCTGGGGTAGAGACTCCACTCGGGCGCCTCCAGCCTTTCCAGAACCTTGTTATCGACATCCCACTTTCAAATCTCCCATCCCACCACCCAGCACCAAGACGAATTCGGGAACATCCTCTATAACCGCGCCATCGCGTGCCACGTTCCGCTCCGGCCGGCATTTCGAGGTCAAGCGACGACCTCTCAATCCCGACTCTTTTCTACCCGCTGCTATTATTCTCCTTGACGCTGTTCGTATCCCGAAAGGATACCTACGTTGCCCATCATGGCGCGGGTCTACGCCGACGTCAATCAGAATATGCCCAGAAGCTATTGGGACTATGATAGTGTTAACATCAGTGAGTTCAGTTCGGCATCGAGCAACTGAGAGCCATGTTTGCATCACGTTCCCATCTCGTCCAATGCAATATCCTCGTTACATCTGTTCCAAATCTTCCCAAGGCTCGCGGCTTCGTATCAATCAATATCTGCTAGCAAACAGTAAAAACTAACATTTTTGGTACTACTAGGCTGGGGAATCCTAGAAAACTACGAGGTCGTTCGCAAAATTGGTACGTCGCGTCGCGTCCCGTATCCTTCCCAATACCAATAGCCGACTAATTTCTCACCGTGATCAGGCCGTGGAAAATATTCCGAGGTCTTTGAGGGTATCAACGTGATTAACTATCAGAAATGCGTCATCAAAGTCCTGAAGCCCGTTAAGAAGAAGAAGATCAAGAGAGAGATTAAAATTCTCCAGAACCTTTCGGGCGGTCCCAATATCGTTGCTCTCCTGGACGTCGTCAGAGACAATCAAGTATGCAGCCACAATTTTTCCGATGCTATGGTCAGGCGCTGTTATATCATATTAGGAGCTAACTCTATTTACCGCCGTATAGAGCAAGACTCCGTCTCTCATCTTCGAATATGTGAATAACACGGACTTTCGAAGCCTCTACCCGAAGTTCAACGACATCGATGTGCGTTACTACATCTACGAGCTACTCAAGGCTCTCGACTACTGCCACAGCAAGGGTATTATGCATCGAGATGTAAAACCTCATAACGTTATGATCGATCATGAGAACAGAAAGGTATGTAACCTACAACCTTGCCACGGCCGTTGTTGCTCACGAATTCGCTAGTTACGTCTCATCGACTGGGGTCTAGCCGAGTTTTACCATCCAGGAACCGAATACAACGTGCGCGTAAGTTCATCAAGTAGCTCCTGCACCTCCTCGCCTTTCGAGAAGCGATAGGTTGTCTACTCGTACGCCTATGTGCTTATGCCATCGATTTTTTAAACCGGCGGGGTGGATATGAAATTCGTACATGCTAACATTATCCTTAGGTTGCCTCTCGCTATTTTAAGGGGCCCGAACTACTAGTCGATTTCCAAGAGTACGACTACAGTCTGGACATGTGGAGTCTGGGTGCTATGTTTGCCTCCATGATCTTTAGAAAAGAACCTTTTTTCCATGGGAACAGCAACTCAGACCAACTCGTTAAGATTGCGAAGGTACTCGGTACTGATGATCTCTTTGACTATTTGGATAAGTATGAGATAGAGCTAGACCCTCAGTACGATGACATCCTCGGTCATTTTACAAAGAAGCCCTGGCACAGTTTCGTCAATACTGAGAACCAACGATTCGTGAGCAACGAGGCCATCGATTTCCTGGACAAGCTTCTGCGATACGACCATAATGTTTGTACCCCCACTCGATCAATTTCTGATACGTTCTAATGGGCATTTAGGAACGTCTTACCGCAAAGGAAGCTATGGCGCATCCATATTTTGCTCCCATCCGGGACGAAGCTACCCTCAAGGAGTATCTTGGTGGCGCAACGGTTAGCTCCGAGTCTTAAGGATCCAGCCTACCCAACCGACCCCGTACTTCTTTTCAGCTCTTCCTCTACGAATTCTTAAGATACCCGGGCATATCCCCGCTCGTCGTTCGATTAGTCTCCAGCCTCCACTATGAGTATGTGCGCTCGTATCTCGTGCTTATGGCATTGCATATTTCTGCATGTCAGGCTACACGCCACTGAAACTGGATGGAAGTTTAGTTCTAGGTAGTTCTACTAATAGGCCCGTGCGATGCGTCTGACCGATGGTTACTCTTCGCGGCGGCAAGACCACGACGTGGCATACCGATAAGAAAGCATGCAATGAATGCCATGTTTTATTTTGCTACGACCCCGTAAACTCTGTTCGTTCCTACTTAGTACACTACGAGGTTATTTCGATGTCTGTGGTTCTGGGGATGCAGTGGATTGAACGTGAATTGAGTGACTTAACCAGCCGGACTTTTGGCGTTCCCGGGATTTTTTTTGTTAAGGGAGGTGTTGAGACGGGTTGCTTGTTTTCCGACTTAGGAGACCTCGGCATAAAGGATGTTGAAATTTTCCTTCTTTTCATTTTTATTCGTGCTATCGGGTATGGCAAGATTACTGATACTGCTACTACTATAAGGTTAGGCTAGTATAGTATGCTAGTATAGGAAGATTAGCAAAGTAGCTTACACGAACAGGCAAACAGACGAGTTTGATGATGGGTCTTGGCTGAATTCGTGGGGATGTGTGATACTATACCTAATATATCTTGAATATCTGAGGACATCAGTCAGTCACCTGTAATTTGAGACTTATAAACTAGTAAGTAATACAAATAGGCCTAACTAGTCGTAGAATATTAGGTAGTGCATATATACGTACGTACGTAAACCGTATCACATTCAGTCCCTAGGTAGGTAGGTATAAGTCATAGTTGTATAAAAAGCCAAGTAACTAGGGAAATGGTATGTAGGTTATGTTATGTACTCTAGACACTTAATAAAGACTGCTTTATACCATGCCGAGGTACTAAATATATACATACTATACGGTATGTTATTAATTACTATATACTCTAATTCTAATCGAGGCTGCTAGTTATATCAGCCAGCTATATGCACTTCATCCTCATCTATCTATAGGTAACCCGTCTTTGGGCTCAAGCCACGTATATCCACCTCCCCATACATACCGTCCCATCCCTTAAACTAATGGATATGCCACATGCATGCATGCATGCCATCCCATCTAAGTTATCTACTTACAGCACGTAAAGCAGAAATCCCGATCGCACACGAACCCATCCTCGCCACACCTGCGCGCCGAGCCGCCCGGCGTGCGCACGGGACTGCTGCTGCTCTCTAGCATTACGCTCGGGCCACCACCGCCACCACGGCCGCCTATCCGTACCCGCCGCGATGACGGCGTAGAAGCGAGAACGCTGATGCTGATGCTATCATCGGCGTTCACCACCGTGCGCGCTAGCGGCGAGCTCTGCGCCGCCACGGGGCTGCTGGCCATGAACCTGCGCTTGGTGCCGCGGAACGCGCGGGAGTCGGTGGCGGGGGGCGCGGCGCGCTTACTGTTGGTGCGGTGGTGGGGGGTATGATGTGTGCTGGAGCTCGTGAGGAAGCCGTGACGATGGTGGTGGTTGGATTTACGGGGTGTGGAGGAGGAGTCGCGGGGGTGGTGGTGGGGGGTTGTGGTGGTGATGATGATGTTGCGGTCGGGTCGGGTGATGAATGGGCTTGTTGTGACGCTTGATGAGAGGACGCTTAGTTCGTCGTCGTCTTGGTCTGGGTCGTCGGGGATGAGGGATGTTAGGGCCCGGTTTCTACTACGGGTGGATGGGGTGCGATGGCTGCTGCTGCTTGTCTTTGCGAGGGCCGGTGATGCTTTGCTGCGTTTCTTTGGCGTGCTAGGGGTTGTGGTTTTGGAGGCGGGTTGTTGTGTAGATGAAGAGGATGGGTTCTTCGGTAGGTTCATCAAAACATCCGTTGGATCGACCTCCTTGCTTTGTTCACTTTGGGACGGTAATGGTCGCAAAACCAATTCGGACGTTTCGGTAGGTGGGCTGACTTGTCGTGGAGGTGATATAGCTGGTTCTGGTTCTGGTGTGGGCAAAGGTATGACTTCTTCCTCTCTGTGGGAATACGGCTGGTCTGGGTCTTGTTCCGTAGAATCTGGCTGGATTATAGCATGATCGAGGGGTAGCTCTAGCTCTGAAGTGGGAGAGCTAAGAGGTTGGATAGCTTCTTGTATTGGATCGGGCAATCGAGTAGCACTCTCCTCTGGTTCTGTCGCTGCAGGTAGACTCGGGGTTGCTTCACGGGGACTATCTTGTGCAAGATTGACTTCCTGGGCTTTTATAGGGGTATCTTGGATTTCATCGCTCATAAGATCATAGGATATAGTTTCAACTGCGCAGTTCGTATTCCCTATAGCACTGCTCTCCGCGTTTGCTTCTCGATCATCGGAGTTGGCATTCAGATCCAAATTCTGTGGGTTATCGAGTACTTGTTCCTTATTAGAATAGCTACCAGGCGATGTAGGCTCGCTAAGCGGGGGTGTTTTGCTATCTGTCGGTATTTCCATCACTATCGTGTCCATCTCATTATTCGAAGACAAGGGTTCTGCCTCCCCCGAGTTATCAAGATTGGAAGGGAGATCGGCTACCTCAATCTCAACATTCTCATTATTGCTTGTATCTTCGTGGCCCACCAGCAGTTCGTCTTCATGACTTTCTTCATCCGGAGCAGTTATATCAGCTAGCCTATCAATGACTTCTTTGAGGTCTTCGTTTATTGTAGGCTGCATGACCTCCCCACGCTGAGGGGTGTCAGACTCTGCATGTTCCTTAGGTTCGTCTACTCTTGGAGAAGGATCGGAAGTTTCTAAGGCCACATCTTGGAGGGAATTTGATAGATCGACTGTCTCCGACCCTTGCCGACTCTTGGTCTTGGACATTTGGCCATAGGAGTCTATCTGCTTACGACTCCGCGAAGATTTCCCATGAACATCGGAAGGACGCATTGCCCTAATTAAGACCTCAATTTGGGCTAGCTTTTCAGTTTTCTGCTCCACTACCGTGGGCTCTTTTTCTGACGACGGTGGTGGTGATATCACTTTGGTATTAGAACATGGTTGTTCTACGGGCACGGCTACCTTTTTTGGTCGCCTGCGCTGTGATTTCTGAAGGGTATGAGAAGCTTGTTCAGTCACAGTCTCGGAATCTACTTTCGTATCCTTCCGGCCCGTTTGCTTTGGCTTCTTAGTTACCGAAGCCAATGGGGAGGACTTATTCTTTTCCGTAGTTGCAATTTTAGCAATTTCTTGTGTATTACCCCCCAAAAGGATATCATCCTCGTCGGAATCATTAGTAGCCAGCGTCGGATGAGGTAAAATTTTACGCCCCGTTGTCTTTGCATGGGAAACCTTCTTCGGTAGCTGATGGTGAAAAGGAGGACCGAGGAAACCACCGTTGTAACCCCCTGGCGCTATTGACGGTCCATATCCAAGTTGGTTGTGATACCCCACGGGTTGGCCAATAAAGCCAAACCTATCCTGATAGAGAGGCTGTGGAAGTTCTGGAGACTGCCAGAGCGGATCAACAGAGGTACTTGCGAACATTGGAGGTCCGAACATGAAGGGATCAGGGGGACCGAATGGATGTAATTGCATCCCGGGATATAGCTGATGGTTGAACTCTCCCGGCATGATAGGTTGATTCAGCCCAGGATGTAGTCCTGGAGAAGGACTATGCATTGATGGTTTAGTCGGTAACGAAGATTTAGAGCCAGAGTCTTCTACCGGTCGGTTATCCTTCTCTTTCATAATTCCTTCTTCTTCATTACTTAAGACGGAACCCTCCCTAGCCCGATCTTTCTCATCTTCTAAGGATAGAAGATGCCCATTGTTGACAATTACCTCCCCAGTCTCAAGGTCAATCTCATCACCGACGCCAGTGAAATCCCTCCCATACTTTTCAAAGATGCGTTCAAAGGCCGACTTCAGTCTCGTCGCAGCCTTGGCCCTTCCCTTATCAAGCTCGTAAAGAGGATCTTGTCTGGCATCAAACTGGGTGGGGCTCATAGAGAGCTCATCTAGATTTGCTTCATCATCGTCATCATCATCATAAGGGGCTTGCCCAAGTTTCGGTCTCTTTGAAGGCGGTTCCATGATCCCGGTTACTCTGCCATGACTTAATTAATAGTCAGCACGTATCGAGATGACTTCGACGGCTATAATTTAATCCGTTTTATGCGTTCTCTAAAAAGAACCTAAGACAAAAAGTAGAATGAAAAGGTTCATAATTCGATATGTGCAACTGCTTTGATGATGAACGCGTCTATGAATGTGGATAAGCGCGTCCACGTCTTGTATCTTGTATCTTGGATCTTATCGGACAATGGAATGGGTTCCAATCCGCACTTAGGTGTTACCGGCTAGGTACATAGACCAGTACTTTTCTAAAGTACCTGACTCAGTTTTCTCCACCTTTCTCGATTACTCAGTACATACTCTACACTACACGTATTGTACCTAGATGTTTCTCAGCTGCAACCACCCTGATTGTTAGCGCTACAGGTGCCTGAGTGATCAGCTGATGACGTACTTGCGTACCAAGCACATGCATAAGTCGACGTCTCAATTCACGGCCGCCATCCAAACCTTCTTTTTGCAATACCTCAAAATCAATAGCAGCAGCATGGAATTAGTGGAATGGCAGATATCCCAAGTTCGCCATGTATTGCCAAAAGTGCCGCACTCCCCTTAAGCTAGATGGATCGTTAGCAGACCTCAACCCAGCTGCATTTGATCTACTTGTTGGTCTGATAGCCACCCCCAACCCAAAGAATGGTCGCAATGGTCGCATGCAACTAACATTTCGCAGCTACGTCCTCCCAGCAGCACCCGAAGCGATCGCCCTCTTCGCGCTTAACCTACCCGAATGATACCGAGAGAAAAGCATTATATGATAGAGTATCTAAGGATATCGGACCGGCAACCTTCAAAAGAAATGGCAGCACCTTGCGTGGCGATGGCCAACCTCGCGATAGCTCCGCCATGTCCTTCGTCCTCCTTACAGAGTCTCAAGTAGCACCCCCAAGGCTCACGCCTCCAGCAGAACCCCAAAGTCCGAGACAGCAACGCCGAATATCCATGTCCAGTGGCCAACGTAATGACGGAAGGAAACCTACGCAACCCCACGAAGCCGAGCGCGTTAATAAACTTTTTGAGATTTTATCCGCGCGTTCGGATATAGACCATCCCGTCTGTGTTGAATGTACGGAGATGTTAGTAGACGGGCTCCAGAAGAAGCTGGAATCCACAGCACGGGAACGAGATGCCTATGCAGCTTTCCTCAAGCAAGTCCAAGCCGAGGTGCCCAGCGAAGAGGATATCGCCGAATCAGAAAAGGCCGTAGAAATAGCACGCAAGCAAGAGCAAGAGTCGTTCAAGCAGCTATTGGCGCTGGAGAAAGAAAAGGCGGCACTTGACCTTGAAATCGCAGCTCTCGAGGAGGAATCACAGGCACTAGATGCCGAGGAGGAGCAGTTCTGGAGAGAGCGCAATGCATTTGCAGTGAAACTCTCCGAGTTCCAGAACGAGAGGGACAGCATAAATACCAAGTTCGATCACGACTCGCAACTTCTCACGAGACTCCAGCGGGCAAACGTGTATAATGATACATTTTCAATACACCACGATGGTCACTTCGCAACGATCAACGGGCTCAGGCTTGGCAGGCTATCGGCAAAACCTGTAGACTGGCCCGAGATCAACGCCGCTTGGGGTCAAGCATTACTACTGGTTGTCACCGTTGCCGATAAGCTAGGGTACAAATTTGAGGGTTACGAGCCCTTACCCATGGGATCAGCATCCAAGATTATTCGCTACGATTATCCATCCCCATCTTCTAGTCGGTTAGGACATCGAAGTGGGCCCCCACCAGGACCTAAGAAGACCGTATTGGAGCTATTCTCCTCAGGCGATCTTCCGCTGCAAATGCTGTGGAACCGCAAGTTCGACCAAGGAATGGTAGCATTCTTAGAGCTAGTAAGACAGCTTGGGGTCTTCGTCCATCAGCAAACGAAAGAAAGCAGCAGTCGCGAGTACGCGGCAAACCCGCTAACGCTCCCTTACAAGATTGAAGGAGACAAGATCGGCGACGACCGGATAGGCCACTTCAGTATCAAGCTGGGCATGAATACTGACGAGAACTGGACGAAGGCATGCAAGTTTGCACTTACGTGTTGCAAGTTTCTGATCGCACACGCGAGCAACGTGAGTCATATATCAAACGGACGTTGAGGTCTAGCTACCTAGCGCCTGGTTCTTGTGACGGGTTAGGTTAGAGACGGCGTTTGGCGTTGCAGGAAACAAGCAAGACGTTTTACACTGCTATCATGGCCGGGACATTAATGTTGTTAGAGTCATTATTGTAGTTACTAGATATCCAATGTATACATATCTCCGGGCGCTGTGTTTGTATTCGGTCGTTATTATTTATTACTATACTTTTGTAGTTGGGTAACATACCTAGGTGATATCGCTGCTATATAACAATCGAGCCTTAAATATAAATAAGTTACAGTAATAGCCATCTCGATATTAGGTCATTATCTAAGTCTATTCGTATCAGCCTTGTCTATACTCTTAGACCTTTAGACACAACTGAGTATTATACGGAGCTAATTGTATACTATAATTACAGGTAGTTAGAATACAAACTCGCTAGTTATACCAATACAGTCCTCAGATAACCCAACCGTTTGACCCCCATCCCACGTATCATGTGTTTGAATTAGTATGCACTATGCAACATGCTTCACCGGTGTAAGGCTTCAAGATGAGTAAGAAGTTGTTAAATTGAAGTTCATGAGAGAACGGAGTTCTCTCACTAGACTAATATATGCAAGTCAAACTAAGTTAATCTGCCTTCTGTCTCAATCAACCGCCTTGCCTTTGTCCGACCTAAGAATGGGATCTCTCGATTATCCCATGGGCGGAACCAAGCAATTCATCTCATCTTAAAAGACCAGTCTTGGTCATTTAGACACTAAAACAGCTATATCCTCTTGTATAATATTTGGTCATTTTCCGTGTCAACGTTGAACATTGTCAGCTTCGGCTACAACCTAATACCAGCATCCTTCTACTCTCTAGGTTTGCTAGCCGTATCATCCTTATCCTTAAATGCCGAAGCATCCCTCGAGGCTGTCGGCGTTCTGCGGGGACGCCTCGGCATAAGCGGATGCGGTTGAAGCCACTCCCGTCGTTCTCCTCCCCTCCCACGAGACATCGACTCAGCCCGAATGGGCCGTCCTCCTGGTTTGGTATTCCGTCTGGACTCAGCGTCTCTTTCTTGGTGGTTGACGCAGTGCCAAGTGTGCTGCCCCATCATCATCAATGAGTTGTCCTCGATGGCCTTGTTCAAGCGGTTGTAGGTGTGGCTATACGTACCTAAGGTAGTTATCACGGCGGCAATCATGTTGGTGTTAGTGACGGGAAAGGGGATAGCAGATAGTTTGAGTAGACTGATAATGACGGCAGTAGTGAAGGTAGCGATGATAAAAGTGGTGAAAGTGTCGGTATTTAAATGGTTTTATTTATGTAATAAGGTTTATATTCAAGGCTTAAAACGAATTTAATTTACTAATAATTTTCTAAAATTTTAAAGTCTTTAATAATCTTTTTTTATCTTAAGTGACTTTAAACCAATTGTTTGATATTTTTTTTAAAAGGGGGGATGTACTTTTTTAACCACACCACCCTTTTAACCAATCACAACCCGTACAACCCCTTTTTTAAAATATCACAATTCGTTAAAAAGCTTGCCCGTGACCCACAAATACAAACACACGGGCCATGCGTTTTATGGCTTAAACGGGCGTAACCCCCGCGTTTTAACGAATTATAATTTAACGTACATTAAAATAAATCTTTTTATTTTAATTTAAAAAAATTAAAACATTATTTATAAATAATTTTAAAAAATATAACTTTATATTTAACCGCTTTTTTAATTATATATTAATTATTTTATATTTTATTTTATATTATTTTATATTATTTTATAATATATATTATTTAATAATTTTAAAAATAATTATTTTAATTATTTATTAATTTTTAATTATATTTATATTTTAATTAAT